CTCCTTTCGCCATCCCACGCCCAAGCCCACCGCCCACCTCGTCAGGTTGTGGTTGTCCACCCCTCCATGGTGGGCTGCCCGTTTGTGAGATGAAGGCTCCGGCGCATTTTTTTCGCTGCCATCCCAGCTTGCGGTTGCTAATCGTGCTTGTGCTTGCGCTTTTCCTGCGACCAAGCCCACCTTTGATCTGACGAATGTACCCATGGTATCTTCGTACCCTGAAAGACTCCCCGTCAATAAATACAAGCCCGCCTCCAGACCTCCCCTTCCTCGATGTTTAGGCCGTTTCCCTCTTGCCAGGCATACTGCTTGGTTCATGTCATCTGAAGATGCCGTCATTCAACCCATTCTCGACCGTCACGGGCAAGCATGCCGCTTCCCTCTTTGAGATCAGGTACGCGCTTTTCTGCCCCACGTCTCTCCAATTCCAGGACATTTTTCCCGTCCCTGCTTCGAGAGCCCTCTCGACTGTCTAACTGAGCAACGTTAACTAACGCTGGCCATTCCATAGACTAGACAATGACTTCGTTGTGTTTCGCGGAGGAGAAGACGAGTCTGCGGGCCAGATTCTCAAGGGCGTCGTAGTACTGTGTCTGCCCACTCCGCTCAAGATCGAAGATGTTCACCTCCGACTCACCGGCACCCTCCGATTATCGTATGAGTGCCCCTTATTTCCGGTTCGACTTTTTTGCAGATCGGCCAGCTGACCTGCCCCCCCTCAATAGGTGGGATTACTCCAAGAGCGCCGCTTCTGGCGTTTCGAGCCAAAAAGTCGACAAGACCACTACCCTGCTCCAACACCGCTGGGCTCCGTTCGTCGGCGGAGCTGGTGGCAAGAACACCATGTTGCCGGCCGGCAACTATGAGTGGCCGTTCGAATTCACACTGCCCGGTAACACGGCCGAGAGCGTCGAAGGAATCCCCGAAGCGAGCATCACCTACAAGCTCAAGGCTACCGTCGCTCGCGGCAAGCTTGCCTACGATCTGCACGCCTACAAGGCTCTGCGCATTATCCGCACCCTCGAACCTGCCGCCCTAGAGTTCCTCCATGCCATGAGCGTCGAAAACATCTGGCCGAACAAGGTCGACTACTCCATCGTCATCCCCCAAAAGGCCGTCGTCTTCGGCGCCTCCGTCCCTCTCCAGATGCGCTTCACTCCGTTGTTGAAGGGTCTGGAGATGGGTGAAATCTCGGTCAAGATGCTTGAGATCCGCGAGTGCACGCTGCAAGGACCTACTGGCAACATTTTCAAGGAACACAGGACAGAAAGAGAGGTTTCCAACTGGAAGTTTGAGGTTGACAGGGAAGAGCACTGGCACGACACTATCGAAGATACTGGTCAGGAGGGCTGGATGGTGGAGAAGAAGTTGAACCTCCCCAAGAGACTGCGACAGTGTGTTCAGGACCTCAACCACAACGGAATTAAGGTGCGACACAAGCTCAAGCTTGTGGTTGCCCTGAAGAACCCCGACGGTCACATTTCAGAGGTATGTTGCTGTCACCTACAACCAAGGTTTAGACAGACGCTAACAAACGCCAGCTACGAGCCACTCTCCCCGTTTCCATCTTCATCTCCCCCAATATGCCCCTCGATGAGCATGGAGTCCTCGTCGACCAGAACCCCGGCACAACACCAGCCGCCGCCGAAGCCGCAGTCACCCGAATCGCTCCTCCTGGTTACGGAGAACACGTTCTCGATCAGTTGTACGAAGACGTCGACATGAGCGGCTTCCAGACACCCGCTCTCCAGTCTGGCTTCAGCAGTCCCTTCTACGCACAGTCTCGCGCTGGTTCCTCCGAGAACCTGGCAGGTCTTGCCATGTCCAACAGCCATAGCCATGGTGTCGCCCCCGCAGCACTCTCGCAACGTCTTCACAACGTGTCTCTCGACCCCTCGCAACGCAATACCTCCTTCAACTCTTTGAACGCCATCACCGAGGATGTCGCTTTCCCGACGTCGAACCCCACTGGCCAGAGTTCGCAATCGCACTCTGCGGCACTTACTCGTCAGAACAGCAACGAGGAGCACTCCAACTCTCACTCATCAGGCCCATCAGGCCGCAACTCCCCTGAGCACCTCGACTTCCCCGACATGGCTACTTTGAGCAAGGTGCCTAGCTACACCACCGCCATCAAGACACCTGCTCGCAGAGGCACCACCGATGCCCTCCCCGACTACTTCTCTGCCATGAGCGCCCCGAACACGCCCCCTGCGAGTGAGGCACCCGTCGCGGACCCGCTCAGCATGATTCCTGAGCATGAGGGTGGCACCGGCAGCGAGCCCACTACCCCCCCCGGTGGCTCGCACCGCTCGTGGCATCGTCCCGCGAGCATGACTTCCCTGCTGCACGCAGTCCAGGGTGGCGATGACCGCAGGCTTCACCTCCTCCAAGGGCGTGAGCGTGTGTACTGAGTCTTCAGAACGCAACACATACAAGATTTTCAACCTTGCTTCTTTGATTTCATTATACGTTATAGAGGGTGGCAGACACTACTTTACGGCATGGCACTGGCGTTGGAGGAGACCGGACTTCAGTGAGGCGGTACTTTGATATTTACAGGTTTTAGATATGCGCCTTGAGGCACCAGGACTCTGCGGCTGCTTAACACACGTACACGGATTGCGATAATGGGCATATGGGGACCAATGGGGCGGTATAGGGAAGACATTCAAACGGTTGTAAGATATACCCACCGCTTAGATCGCGGCACGTCGAATGCGAATTACCAAAAGGAGACTCATATTTTTCAAACGTCTATAAGTGAATGTATCCAACTTGTGTGACGCATGTGGCAGCGTGCTGCATCAAACGTCTCTGAAGTGGCGTGAGCGTGCGAGACTCCTCCTTCACATGTGAACACAGATCATTCAAAACCGGTTCTGTGGATCTTCCACCATTGGAGGAATGAGTCATTTGCGCACCCGGGTCGTCGCAACACCGAGAGACGAGACCCTCGGGCCACGCCAGCTCGGAATAGGAGGGGCCCCGCTAGAGTACCGAGGATGCGGCACGGCGAGAGGGTCCACTTCGCCGGGGACCACCGGCCGATGTCGGATTTGACCGCAGCGACCATGCGAGATTCCAGACCGTTTGGATCGCGGGGGTAACACACACACACGCGCGCGCGCTTGGTGTTAGTGGGTTAAATACTCTCGAGCCCGCTCAGCAAGCGCTTACATGATTTGCGCGGCAAGAGAAGGGCGATGCATGGTGTTTTCGTTTTTCTGGTTATGGCGCCGATGAGCCGGGCAGGATGTCATTTGAGCGAGGCTTGTTAGGCCAGATACTGTTGGTTACGTTTGCTACGTTTTGGAGGAGTGACTGATATGGCGTGTGCAGGATCTAGGTTTGGGACAGGGTGGTTTGATCGGTTCACTATATGGACACCCTTTGGTGGTGATTGCGACAGGTGTTACCTTAAGTTATGCGAGCCTTAGCTATTCTGCGATTTTTAGTGATATAACGCCTGTTTCCCCCGTGTGCATGGGACTGTATTTCTTACAGATACTCGAGGCTTAAGAGTTTGATAAAAGTGGAAATAGGACCCAATACTGTTCTTGTGCTAGAGCTACTACTTTTCACGCGTGCTCGCCATCTTCGACGTCGTCGGTCGTTACCGTTGTCATCGTCGTCTTCTCTATTATATGCCGTCCATGAATGAAGTAATGAGGTGCATTGGAATCATAGCCGCGCAGACATGGTCAGAATGGTTGGTCTGTTTGGTTTGCTTTTTGTCTCCATATCCACCATCGTCCTCCATTACCCGCCTCATCTGGGCAACACTGTCACGAGGAGATACAGAATAATCACTGATTTAGAGACATCGATTTGGCCTTGTCCCCCAGACAAGACATTTCTTCGTGTGGAGGCCTCATGGGCTCCCGAATGGCGTCCCATCACCACCATCCCCTGATTGGCTACCCATCAGAAGAGTCTTTGGGCTGTGCTTTTCGACCCAACACCATCATCCGAAGATTCTTAATCAGTCCCTCCCAACTCTACGATATTCTGTCATCAGGGTCTGGACCATGACATAAGACCAATCGGTTCATGTCGCCGCCCGTCGACTTCCGTCCAATGCCTCCGGATGGAGGTTCAGGCTGCAACCCTGCTCCCGAATGCTGTCGGCCGTCATCTCAATGCCGCTCCTCTGGAAGATTGAAAAGCTTGTTCCTCCAACGAAGGGTACCCCAGCAAGTGCGATATTACCACGGCTTGGATTGAACAACATTGTTATTAGTTACACGTGTCACTAGGCGGCCGCGCTATCATCTCTGATGGCAGGACTGATAGGGAAGGATCATCTAATCTCAACTAGCGCATTTCGTGTGATGGGAAGTAGGGGACTGTTCACTTTGTGTTGACGTCATAACTACTCGGAATCACCGCTTGGCTTCACTCTAGCGTGTCGCAATGGGGAACACCTGATGATGCCAGCGCAAAAGAAAGGCCCTGGACAGCTGGAAGTTTCTCAGCCCAAGCAAGCGCGACAGATGTTGCCCGTCCGTGTTGGGGGTCACTTTCAGCTGCACCGGCACCCAGCACCAGCACAGCAAAATGAGAAAGCTTGGATTTGTGTTCCCTGAGAGAGTCGTGATCGTCACAGGGGGTCCAGACAACTCCACTTTTGGGGGACGTGCAAGCTGAGGGACTGGCGCTAGGGCCAAAAAAGTTGTCGGCGGCGGTGGAGAACGTCATTCGAGTGTGTTCGTGCAGGAGCTTGGGCGGTTTAATTACCAGCTGTCACTGGCGGGGAAAGGGAAAGTGAAGGGGGGGGGGGGGGGGGGGGGGCAAGGGGCGACGGTCTGGGCAGCTACACTGCACTACTGCCGCCCTTTTTGCGATATAACCTCGTCCGCCCTGCTTGCTGCACTTTTCCCTTGCCAATCTTTTTGACAGGAGCATTTGAGCGACCCTGTTTACACTGCGATACCCATCTGTCGACCTGACAGTTCAAATACCCCACGCATTCCTGTTCACAATTGCACATCGAAACTATGGCGGACACCAAGGCGCTGCCGACGAGGTCGGCGACCGTGAAGACCACCTCGACCACCGACGATGCGGTCCCTGAAGTCGACCCTACCAGCGTAAGTTGAAATGCTTGGCCTGTCATTGGCAGTCAGCCGAAATCTACAGCCGTCTTGTCGATTTCACATTTTGGTGTTGTCATCCCTCTTTAGCACGAGCTAACACTTTGCGCGCAGACCGCTGGCCTTCTCGCCGAGCGACTCCAGGCTTGGAAGCACGCCGTCGGATACCTAGAGGACTACATGGAGGCCGTTGAAAAGATCCACAAGGCTCAGTCGAAGGAGTATGAGAGAGCGCTTAAGGTCATCTCTCATCCCTTGAAGGAGGGTCACCACTTTGACCAGAGTCTTGGCGGCATTGCGGGCTACTTTGAGAACATGCGCTCCAACACTCAGGCTATAATCAACACCAACCTCGAGACGGAAAAGAGCATCAAGGGATCTGTTCTACCGGTTCTTGAGCGTCTCCACAAGGAAATCAAGCACAAGGGCAAGGAGCTCGCTCACGGTGCCCAGAAGAGTGCCAAGGAGGTCGAGAAGGCTCGCAACACCACCCAGAAGCATATCGAGCTCCTTGGCCAGCAAACCGCTGCTTTTGAGTCGGCTGGCGGCAAGATGCACGGCTCAGACGACCCATACGTCGTCCACCGGGGTGTCTTGCACAGACTCCACAAGCAAGTTTTGGAGGAGAACAACAACCGCAACGACCTGATTGCCGTCCAGAACAACTTCGAGGCCTTCGAGGCTCACGTTATCGAGGTTATTCAGCAGAGCATGGAGGCCTTTGTGCAATTGACTGGAGGCCAGGCCGAGAAGACTCGTGCCTTGTACTCTGACATGCTTGGCGCGGTCCAGCGAGTTCCTCCCGATCTGGAGTGGAAGGGTTTCGTCACCCGTAGCGGCGAGCGTCTGGTCAACCCCAACGATGCTCCGCGATCCGTCGAGTCTGTCACGTTCCCCAACATGGACCACTCTGGCGTCAAGCCCCTGATCGAGGGTTCTCTCGAGCGCAAGTCGCGTAACAAGTTGTCTTGGGGTTACTCTACTGGCTACTACGTCGTAACCCCGGCCAAGTTCTTGCACGAGTTCAAGGACTCTGACAACACCCGCGCGGACCCCAAGCCGGATCTATCCATCTACCTTCCGGACGCTGTGATTGGTCAACCCAACGGGGACAAGTTCAACGTTAAGGGCAAGGACAAGAGCGGCTCAATGAGTGCCAAGCTCACAGGCAGTGCAGAACTGGCCTTTAAGGCGCACACCCCTGCGGATGCCGAGAAGTGGTTTGAGATTATCAAGAATGTTGCGGGAGCTACTGGCCCTGCTGCTCCGGACTCGGTCCCCACCTCGCCGGCAATGGCCTCTGATGAGAAGTTCGCCGCAGTATCTCCCACAGTCAACACTCAGTCTGGCGCTCACCCAGGCCAAGAGGCCGGGGTCACTGGGGCCGATCCTACCGCCAGCCCAGAAATCTTGAGTCCGGTTGACGGTCCTTCCTCGGGCACCGCCATCCCTGCGACCAAGACGCCTCCTGTTGAGGAAAAGAAGGCTTAAGGGATTCGATGGCCACCATCTTTCTTCTCGTCGCTCCCCCATGCACACCCCGTCAGCCCCAGATTTCGACAGACGCCCGTCATCTTCCGCCCTACTTTAAAAGCGAGGCGGTGTTATGTTGAGAGGGTTCCATCCCCGGTTGCCTTACACATTGAGCCTCGTGACGAGGCATACTTCGCCGCAGTCGTGCAGTAGTGTTCGGCTGATTGGCCACCCCCTTCAAGCTACACACAGCCTTATGCCAGCATGCTTTCTTTGCTGCCACCTTGGCGCATGCGTTTGGAGGATACCACTTGTTTATGGCAATGAATAGCTTTTAATGAAACAGAATTATTATTTGAGCCTTCCCCCATTTTTCCCTTGCTTCCTCCGTACAGAATACAGGATCTAAGTGCGAGTGAAAAGATCGATGGACGAGTCGGATACAGATACCTGACGTCCAGACGTTCACATCATCGACTGTCTGCCTAGCGATTTGCGACGCCGAGACACGGCGCTGAAACCTGCAGGCAATTCACGTGGCCATCCACAATCTGTTGGGAAGCCTCACGGCATGGGTATAAGTGCAAAGCCGCCCGGTCTTTTTGCTCGACCCTACCGGAGTGGAATCCCGATTTGGCTAACGAAGAACAGGAGGAGCACCTGCGACGTATTCTGCTTGAAGAAGAGGCATTATTATGAGTCAACTCAGGAGGAAGCACGGTTCTAATCGCGATTCGGTGATGACGTCGGGGACCAGAATTTCAACACCCGCGCAGGTGCACATTGAAGCACTCAAGGAAAAGTCTCCAACGACCGACTGCCACACCTTGGTTGACCTGCAATGCCTTGCAGATTTCTCGGTGAGGGGTTAGGTGAGGGGGTAGGTCATGAATGGTGTGCTGCGTCCACACCACCTTCCGCGCAGCCTTCTGATCCCTTGAACGAGAGTCAAGGCTGCCGAGAATGAGAAAGGCAGATTTACTCGCACCGTTCCGTCCTGGTTCCCGCGCAATTGTGCTCTTTGGACGATTGAAGAACCATCCCTACCCATGCATTTGTTTTGTTTTGCAGCATGAGCGAAAGATATGTTATTACGCGAGAGGCTTTAAGGCAGATACGTTGATGAGGAATTACCGTCGTCAGCCCCAACTTTACAGCCTCTGAACGGGCTAAGATCGCAGTGATGGGCAGTGATGGATAAGCCAACAAGCACACCTGCTACAGCCTGATTTGAATATTATATACATAGTGCTGAACAAGCTGTTTCCTAATCCCTGAGAGTTTCCCAGCCAAACATCTTACAATCCATCAAATGTCACCGTAGCTAGTGTCACTCGATTCCTCTTTCGGTGTCTATGCCCCTATCCATGGTTTCTTTTCAATGAACCAACCGTCAACTCGTAGAGTTCCTGCTCGGCCGGCGCAATCATGACGAAAGCCTGGAAGGAATACCGTGACACCATCACGAGGCTCTACATCACGGAATCCCGGACTCTGGAGGAAGTCAAGGATATCATGCAGAGGGAGCATAGCTTCAAGGCATCGTAAGTTAACTTTCCTTCTGTTAGTCTTAGTTCCCACAACCAAATTGGCCACAACTCCTCCGATGGCCTCATACATGTGCAAAAAGATGGTGATGTCAGTTGGGGGCCAGAGAAAGGAACCAACTAACCCTTTGCTCAGAACTAGGTCGTACCGCCAGCAGTTCGACAAGTGGCAACTGGGGAAATACAACTGCAAGAAACGCAACGTCCGCCGCCTGTCCCAGCAGAGCGGGATCCAGATAGAAGCAAGCCCGACCCTCATCGGCCTCGGCTCGCCAGACGACGGCGGCGGCCCCAACAGCCCGTCACACAGTCTCGCCAGCATGAGCCCGGAGCTCGACCACGAGTCGTCGTACTACAGCCCCCAGGTCTCTGCCGGAATCTCCATGTACCAACAAGCCCACCACAGCTCGCAGATGCCTACCTGGGAGCATCACCAGCCCGAGAGGGCGTGGGGACAGATCCCCGCCGCTTCGCCCATGGGCCCGGGCCACCAGCAGACGGCGGGAGGCTCTCCCGGCCCGTCGCATCTCGATTTTGACGACATCCTGAGGCAGACCGCGCAGCAGACGGGCCACGGCGCGGAGATGCACTCGCCTCACCCCGTCCATCCACAGTCCTCGTACTCTGTCGTCCTCCGACCGGGAGAGCAGCCGGTCCAGCAGAACGCCAGGATCGCCCCTGAGTACCGGTACAACCCGTATCCGTACCAGTCTGGCGCACGCTGCGGCTTTCGCAGGTGAAGCCTGGTTGGGGTTAGCATTGTCCGTGTCAGTTGGCCCTGCTGGCTGGGGGACTTGATGTGTAAAATTGTTCATTTCCCAGTCTGTTTGGGTTTGCGTGTTAGCTTTCCGTGTTTTGCAACCAGCGTTCACTTTGCTTCAATGGGCATCGGAGGAAACAAGGAACAGGAGGCTTGCTGGATCACAGGACACACAATGGCACCTGACTCCTTTTATTCTTTCTTTTAACCAAAAGGAAATGTGGGTTGGATATGTTTGTTTTAGCCACGTGTTGATGTTCGCTCGTTTAGAAGGCACCTACTACACCCCTTTATAAACAGAATCAAAATTGCAATTTTCCCCAGCCTAGGTAACGCCAGCAATGCACCCATCGCGATATGCCCTGGAAGAACCGGAACCTATTTACATAAAGTCGTCGTCGTTGAAAGGCTCGTTCGTCTCCGGCCTCTTGTTTGAGAGATTCAGCGTCGCCGCGCTGTCCACCAAGCCGTAGGGATCGTGGACGTGCTTCTTGCCGTCGCCGCCTTCGGACCCGCCGCCGTCCCCAGCCGCCGGCGCAGAGTTGGAGCGGACCTGCACCTTGACCTCGCCCGCGATGCCGTCCACGCGGATGGTGGAGGTGGTGGTGCCGCCGGGCGGGGGCCGCAGGGAGGGCGCGGGGGCGAGGTTGACGAGCTCGCGGAAGAAATTGTTGGCGGCCTCGCAGCCGTCGAGGAGCCACTTGAGGCAGATGGTGACGCGCTCCTTGGCGAAGGGGTTGTGGTCGTCGTAGGCGCAGCAGTTGAGGAGGGGCACGATGCCGTTGTGGTTGACCATCTGGTTCTGCACCTCCGGGTTGCCCGGCGAGGACTGGCCGGGCGGGGGCTGCAGGAGGGTCGCGAGGATGGTGAAGATCTGGCCCTTGATGCCGGACCAGGGGTACTTGTGCGCCGGGTCGGAGAGGGACGGCGGCGGCGGGGATGGGGGAAGGCTCTCGTTTGTGGAGTAGGGGCGCTCGACGATCGGGGTGGAGCCGGCGCTGTTTTGCTGTTGCTGGTCTGGGGGAGTGGATGCGGGAGGAGGGCGGTTGCGGCTAGGGACGGCGTCGACGAGGGGCTTCTTGGGGACACCGGCCTCGAGGCCGTTGAGGAGGGTGATGAGGTCGTAGACGGCCTCCCACTCGATGAGCTTCTTGCGGGACTCGGCGATCTCGGAGGCGGTGGTCAGGAAGTCGAGGTACTGGGCGAGGCCGTCCTTGGCGCGCTCCATGTCCCAGGTGTCGACGGGGAACTCGGCCGGGTCGACGTTCTCCTCGCGGATCTGGGCCTGGAGGTGCATGAGGGCGACACACTCGGGGACGATGCGGGAGCGGAAGAAGCTGAAGAAGAACATGACGAGCTTGACGTCGCGGTCCTGGTCCTTCTTGTCCTGGGGCGGGTTGCTGATGCGGGAGCGGAAGATGTGGTTGACGAGGCGGAGGAGGACGGTCTGCGCCGGGGAGATGATGTCCTTGGGGATGCGGAGGGAGTTCCAGGCGTAGGGGACGAGCGCGGAGTGGTGCAGGGCCTCGATGAGCTGGGAGGTGATTTGGAAGATGAGGGACTGTTCGTCCTTCTCCCAGACGGCAATGAAGACGAGCATCTCGCGGAGGAGAGACTTGCCGCAGTCGAGGGCGAGGAACATGCGGCAGCGCGTCTTTTGGAGGTTCTCGCCGGCGTGGGTGAGGCCCGTGCCGGCAGAGTCGAGGATGCAGGATTTGACAATCATGTGGAGGGCCTCGATCTGCTTGGGGTCGAGGATGTTGGGGATCTCGGTGAGGAGGCCGGTCAAGGGTCCTTCGCCGTAGGACTCGTCGTCGTCGATGTCGTCGTCGTCCATCATGTCGTCCAGGTTTTCCACGTGGTGGTAGTCCTCGGCATATTCCTCTGGCGAGCCTTCCGGGAGGTCTCCCGACTCCTCGACCTCGACAACCTCTGCCTCCTCGCCCGAGCGCATGACGGGCATGGGTGTGTAGCGGTTGATGAGGTTGCTCTTGCAGTGCTCTGTCCGCTGCTTCGCAAAGTCGACGGAAGGCATGGCGACCTGCCAGCCCTCGTAGTTTGCGTCTCGGGCGCGCAACCACCATGTGTCGATTTCCCTCGAGACTCGGCAGTACAGGCGGTCCTGCTCGAACTTGTCTTGGATTTCGGGGTCCCACGTCGGTGTCACGCGCTCGCCCTCCTTGTAGTTGTCTGCGCGAACCTTCACCTGGCCTTCCGGAAACCAGTTCCAGGCCAGGGGGGCAATCGGAGCCAGGACGCCGGGCGGCTTGTGAGACTTGTTCTGGGAGTAGTCTGTGAGGAGCTTGCGGGCCGTGTCGCACATTCTGGAGTTGCGCTCAAGCCAGTGCTGGATTTCGGTCTTTGCGACGTCAACACGGAATCCAGAGCCATCACCGAGGCCGTCCTGGGGGTCGTCCAGCTGGGCGTCCTCGTCAAAGAGAACGTCGTACCAAAATGACATTTTGTTCCGGTCGTTCTTGGCCGTCCAGTTGTGTGCTTGTTGGAGAGAGGTAACCAGAAGCTTCTTGTACATGTCCGTAATCTCATTCAACTTTGCGCGTGATGTCTCGTCCAGAATCTCGCCGTCGTAGCCCTTGCTCGTGACGTTAACACAGAGAATGATGGTCTGGTACACCATCTGGTCGAAGTGGACGGCGGCGCAGATGTCCTGTGGGACCTCGGGCTCCGACGTCACCAGCAGGTTCCTCGCGATGTGCATGAGCTTGTTGAGAATAGAGAGGTCATCCTTGAGGCTGTGGTGGTTCTTTACGATGAGAGCCGTGCTCTCCTGCGGGGTGACGCCCTTCTCGGGGTCGTTGAGACTTGACAGCGGGCCTACTGAGCGTGTGGTGAGGCTGGGGATGGCGGCGCCGAAAATCTTTGTCAACCATATCCAAATCTCGACGTTTCGTGACAACGTTTCCCTGGTTCTTGTCAGATATGTCTCAGGGTTCCCAGGACGTGGAACTGAAGCAAGCTACCTCACATGCTTGAATGTGTGTGTCTTCTCAAGGGTCTTTGCTATCATGGATGAGACCCTGGCTGCGGTCTGGGGGCCCATGGGCGGTATGGTGTAGTGGCCTTCGAGGCAGATGAGGGCGGCTGAGAAGCAGCGCTCCTCGATGGACTCAGAGCCGGGCGTGCCATCGTCAAGTTCCAGGTCCGCCGGCAGCGACGGTGCTGTGTCTACCGTCATGGCTGCTGTGTCGTGAGATGGTGTGTGCTCCGTGGTAGTAAGGAAGTGAGTTTGGCAATCACTTTTCAGACTAAAAGATGGGGTAGCGTGCGAGACTTGGTGAACATGGCAAGGGCACCGCCAGAGTGAATTCCAACAACCTTCGATTAGTAATTACGCTGGAAGTGAGATGAAGGCGGCGGAGGAAACTTTTGCATCAAGTCACAGTTCTCATGTAAAATCAAGATACGTCGAACGGGGTGGCGGCTCGAGGATGAGAGACGGGGCAGGTCACCAACGAGGAAAATTTCCGCCCAAGTATCTTTGCACTCAAAATTGGTAAGCAGATACACACAGACCAACTGCCGGATTGAGGGCTCTGCTGAACCAGCCGCAGGTTCTAACAACGGGGAGACATTTGCCCAAGTTAAACTGGATTCTTGAACCGAGTTATTGAAACAAAGCATCAGAAATCCCAATTTCTTCATGAGAGACGAACTTCATCTTGATCCATGTGGCATATCCAACCTTCTGAGTCTTGTGCGAAGAATGCGAGCCTGTACGCGCGGATGCGACTGCTCTTCTGGGTTGAGAGCCCTGTGAAATTTTGGAGCGCTGGGCCCCCTGAAATCGGCCAATCGTGGGGCTTCTGCCCCTGTAGACCCCTCTATCGGCCGTGTCCGTCGTGGGCTCCGACGACCTCCCCTCGGCGGGGTAATTTTGCTGCAGTGTCCTCCGTTCAACGGGAATTTGGGCCACTTGTGCGACGAGTCACGGCTTGACTCACCCGACAAGATAAATCCGTAAGTCCTCGACCGTCAGATCTCGACCTACCGATCCTGCCACGATCTCGCTTCTTGCGTCTCGTCGAATTCCGCCGCAATTCCCTTCGATCACCGTTTACGACGTTTACGACTTTCATACCGACTTCAACATGGCGGAAGGCGCAACGGCCCAGGAGAGGTTCGCCCTCATCCAGGAGAACCTGGCTGAGGTCATGAACCCCGAGATCATTGAGAAGATTCTGGCCGAGGGACGCAACCCCAAGATCTACTGGGGTAAGCATACTTGAACTCTGTTCTTCCAGCTATGCTGTCATGCATTGGCTGACCGAATGCGCTGCAGGTACTGCGACAACCGGCAGACCGCACTGCGGTTACTTCGTCCCGGCCATCAAGCTGGCGCAATTCCTCGCTGCCGGCTGCGAGATGACGGTCCTCCTCGCCGATATCCACGGCTTCCTCGACAACCTCAAGGCCCCGATTGAGCTCGTCGAGCAGCGCGCCAAGTTCTACAAGTTCGCCATCACGAACATCCTTCAGGCCGTTGGCGTCTCCACCGAGAAGCTCAACTTCGTTCTGGGCAGCTCCTACCAGAAGAGCCCCGAGTACATTATGGATATCTACAAGATGAGCTCGCTCATCAGCGAAAGAGATGCGAAGAAGGCTGGTGCGGAGGTTGTGAAGCAGTCGGACGTGAGATCACCCGTTCCATCGTGCCGGGCGTGGGGCTAACACGACGGTAGAACGCCCCTATGAGCGGTCTGCTCTACCCTGTCCTCCAGGTCTGCGACGAGCAGCACCTGGGCGTTGATGCGCAATTTGGAGGTATTGGACCCTTTGACTTGTCTCTCACCACCCTCGACTGACTTCTGTAGGCATGGATCAGAGGAAGCTGTTCGCGGCGGCAACGGAATGGCTGCCCAAGATTGGTTACAAGGTCCGCGCGCATTTGCTAAACCCCATGGTTCCGGGTCTCAACGGCGGCAAGATGAGCGCAAGCGACCCTGGTAAGTCTGATGAGTGATTGCCGGCGTATGCACATGCTGACACGGCCCCTTAGACAGCAAGATCGACCTTCTCGATGCCCCTGAAGTCGTCCAGAAGAAGCTCCGCAAGGCCGAGTGTGTGCCCAAGGTTGCCGAGGGCAACGGTGTTTTGTCTTTTGTCGAGTACGTGCTGCTCCCCGCAGCCGCCCTGAAGGGCAAGAAGGAGTTCACCGTCGAGCGTGAGCGTGACGGCCTCGAGCCCCTGGTTTACACCGACATTGCTGCTATGCACGAGGACTACAAGAACGATGTGGTAAGTATAGGATGTATCAACGCGGATTTTGACGGTACGCTAACACCCTGCAGTTGACGCCTCAGCTGCTGAAGCCGGCCGTCACAAAGGCTCTCAACGCGCTCTTGGCACCCATCCAAGCTTCCTTCCAGGCTTCCCAGGAGTGGCAGGAAGTCACAGTCAAGGCCTACCCGCCGGTTGAGGATGACAAGAAGAAGAAGAAGAAGCAGCCCAAGGACAAGGGCTCTCGCTACCCCGGCGGAGCCAAGAAGGAGGATGGCGCGGCCAAGGAGACAGAATTGCCTATGCGCCCAGCTGAGGAGAGCAAATAAACGACGACGCCCCGGTTTGCTTTGCATAGAAATGAATTTTGTCTGTATGTACTAGGGTTGGAGTTCGGATGAAGACCAGCAAAAAGTCTAGAGAGCTAGATACCTCAGATGAAAAGAGCATATGAGAACCCCCCCAACTCCTGTCCACAACCTGTCCAGAAGCTCAGTTTTAGTGCTAACACCCCGGACCTCTTGATTCAAGATATCTCGTTTCTAGCAATGCATGCGCCCCAGGCATGATCTTCGACACGTGCTGAGAAGATTGGCCATCCAGGCGGGGACATTTTGCTGACCATGAAAATGCGGGACGCCCGGGAGGTCGCAATGGCGGGGCACTGAAGAAGTGCGTGGGATGGCGGGGTAAAATTCGGCGGGGTCCTTGAAAAAAAAGGTTCGGTATTCTTACCATCCACCCAGGTCGTCACAATTCTATATCCGGTTGAGCTCGAAGCTGTCGTCTGTTTTGTCTTTGAATCTGTCATCTTAGAATCGTGATACCCCTTCCCCCGCGAAAACCAAAATCATAGACACAATGGCCGACCTTCCTACCACCTTCGACCGTAAGCAAGCTCCTCGACATGCTTTTCTCCCCTCCCTCGAGCTCCCACCCGCGAATGCGCGCGCGCGCGCGACTGAGAACACGATGCTAACATCGCCTCACACCAGGCCCCGTCCACATCGCCGTAATCGGCGGCACCGGTCTCGGCAAGCTCGAGGGCTACACGCCCGTCGCCGCCCTGAACCCGACGACGCCGTGGGGCCAGCCGGCCTCCCCGATCATGATCCTCGAGCACGCCGGCGTGCCCATCGCCTTCCTCGCCCGCCACGGCCTGCACCACCAGTTCGCGCCGCACGAGGTGCCCGCCCGCGCAAACATCGCCGCCCTGCGCTCCATCGGCGTCCGCTGCGTCATCGCCTTCTCCGCCGTCGGCTCCCTGCAGGAGGAGATCAAGCCCATGGACTTCGTCGTCCCGGACCAGGTCATCGACCGCACCAAGGGCATCCGCCCTTTCACCTTCTTCGAGGGCGGCGTCGTCGGCCACGTCGGCTTCGCGGACCCCTTCGACAAGCGCCTGGCTGAGGTCGTGAAGAAGTGCGCCGCGCACATGCAGGGCGACGGCGTCGTGCTCCACGACAAGGGAACCATCATTTGCATGGGTAAGCAGTGCTTCCTTTCCCCCCCGTACGAACCGCCGAAGTTTGAGTCTTGCTGACACACATCGTATAGAGGGCCCCCAGTTCTCAACCCGCGCCGAGTCTCACATGTACCGCTCCTGGGGCGGCAGCGTCATCAACATGTCCGCCCTCCCCGAGGCCAAGCTCGCGCGCGAGGCCGAGATGGCCTACCAGATGATCTGCATGGCCACCGACTACGACTGCTGGCACTCGTTCGAGGACGTCGACGTCGCCATGGTCATGAAGTACATGGCCGCCAACGGCGAGAACGCCAAGCGCCTCGTCGGCGGCGTCCTCGACGAGCTGGCCAAGCAGGAGCACAGCGAGATGGTCCTGGCCAAGCACTGGGAGGGCGCGTCCCAGGGCGCCGTCAAGTTCATGACCAAGCCCGAGGGTCGCAACCCCGAGGCCATGAAGAACGTCGAGTTCCTGTTCCCCGGCTTCTGGAACTAAAGTTGCCCTTGCTGGCTGGGTTTGTTTTGTAGTTTGATGATGGAATTTCAGTACATGGTGTTAATATGGGTTGGCCAAAATGAGCGTGGACTTATATCATATGGACACTTTATGAGCATAGACTTCCCCCGGGGCATCAACTGGCCGGGGTGAAAGATAGATCAGGAATAGAACAATTTAAAGAGCGGTGCACATGAATACATGGTAGCGATGATGATGATGAATTCCGAGCCTTTTGACTCTGTTCTTTACGTGTACAATCAAAGGTCCAACGCCATGTCTAACGCCATTCTTGGACCCAAAGGAAGTCTACCTCAAAACCTCCGTTCCCAATCACATCAAGAGGTATAATGCCCGGACGCCTTTCTCCGCTGCCGCGATATGCCAAGGCCGTATATCCGTCCCCCTATCTACAATGCCCCTGGCCCGAGCTAGTGTACCAAGGCCCCTGAAATAAGTGAGCATCTCCCGCATCAGAGTCTCGCACAGCCGCGGGTTGCTATCCACGTGCAAAATGTTGACTTCCAAAACCACTGGTGGATCTTCTAGTTTTGTTCCGCCGCGTTTGACTAGATACCCACTGATTATAGCAGGACTGAGCTCTCCAAGAGTTGATGAGTTGCTGAGTCGATGGGCAAGCACGGCACCCCACGTTTGATCCGTAACATCAAGAAGAATGGCGTCACCTTCGGCTGGTTCCGCGTTGCCGTCACCAGGGGTGCCTCCCGGCGTCGCGGCGTTTACGGGGTTATTTTCCTTCATAGGTGTGGCGGGCGTCCCACTTTGCTCGGGAGAGAGTATTGATGCCTGCGGTGTTGACACCGGGGTGGTGTAGAATGCTGACGATGCTGTCGCTGGTACTTTTATTGCCGGAGGAAGCAACTGTAGAGACGGGTTTGTGTCGACTGAGATCAACGTCAGGCTCATCGAGGCCATCGACTCGGTTTGCGCGAGACCTTGCCAGAAACCAATTTCTTGCTGGTCCATGGGCCCGCACTTTGTGATAATGATCCGCCAGTGTACCTTCCACTTGGAGATCAAATCATGTGTCGTATCCCATATCTCGTGGTAGACATCGTTAAGAGACGTTGAAAGTGGCTTGCCTTTGCGCCCGAGACTGTAAGACGCCGTCATTTGCTGGCATCCCCTGTTGTCGGTCCATGCTGCCGTAATCCACCTCTCGTCAATGCTTTGTGCATAAGCGATGTGCATGCAGGTGTTTTCGTGCATGACCGAAGACGAGGAGGTATTGGAGATCTTGAAGTCGATGCCTCGTGGTAGTGACTGCTCCAGCATGATAGCTGGCGAGGGCATCGGCCCGCCAAACAATGTGCATCGATCATACGTCTCTATCGCTAGCTTGATGGCGTCGCTTGGTGTTGGTTCAACGATGCCCACAGGAGAAGTCAGAAAATCTAGAGGAACCAGCTGCAAAACAAGTTCATTGACAGGCGCTTGTCTCCTGTCAGTCAAAGACCTCTTGTGCATCTCGAAAAGCCGTTGGAACGCCGTGCATTCCTCCACGATCGACCCTGGGTGATCCGGAGGGTACACGAAGTACACAACAAAATTCTTTTCCGTCACGTTTGCTGACAACAGCCCCTGATTCAAGGCCTCCATGCGATCATCCAGACTTGACCCAATGTGAGGGCTGACCGTGCCCGGAGAAGTAGCAATCTTGTCCGCTTCGAATGGCATCAGCCCGTCGGTCACCTTTGAGCTCGTGGGCAGGCGCTCGAACGAGCCCAGTTTCAGCAGCTCATAGACATTGCGCATCCGATCTAGGAACGCTGCGGCAACATCTGTCATGCCGTCCCAGTTCGGAAACACGCAGACAACGCTGACATTCTTCGTCCCTTGGGCAGGGCCGAGACCCAAGCTTTCCCAAAACTGGACGCTTGACGGAAGCACCGACAGTCTGGCTTCTGCGCGGCGGAGTTCCATGTGTGGCGCAGGGATTTGGAAAAGGTTGTTGGGCTTGGGCGGCTCAGCATTCGAATCTCTCTGCGGAACTGGCCTTGGGTGCAGTCTGTTAGGCTGCCCCAGCAACGGCACGTCAGGGACCTCCACGACACCTTTGAAGTTGCAGGTGTTGAACTCGCCGAGGCAAGCAGGGACAACTTCTCGCAGAGTCTGTAGAGCGGTGCGACTCAATGATGACAGCTGTCGACGAGTTTCTGATATAATGGCCGTGTTCAGAGTGTTGGCTTGCGAATCGCGGATTTTCAAGTTACCAGTGACCGCTTGCTCAGTCACAATCTGAGCGATTGTCACCATGTCCTCATCTGTTAGTGAAAGATGAATCGGCAGTACCTCAGCATCCTCAAAGTACTTTGTTATCGATACCTCTGTTGCCTCGACCTTGGCTAGTTTAGGGAGTTCCAAGGCCAAGGTGGGATCAGAGTCTTCGACAGACTCAATGTCCTTCAACGAGGTAACGTGAGAAACCACATCGTCGTCGAAATTCAGTCTTCTAATGCTTGATTTGAACGGAGACGCTGGCTCATCTGTCGTTGAGCTTGCGTCATCCTGGTCAGACACCAAGCTCACATCGTCCGCATCGGATGCGAAGTCATCCATTTTTGCAGGACTCGTGTTCAAGGTTGCGTTTTCCAGACCGCCGGTAATCGTACGGATGACCACACTCGTCTGCTCTGAGTGCTTCAGCTGCTTCCTCTGTTTCCCGTGTCTCCGTAGGTAGTCGGTTGTAGGCGGACCTTGAGAACCAGGCTGCGTGATCGACTCTTGTGCCAACCCGCGGGTGACAGGATTGCAGTCAAAACGGCCCCCTTGCTCGTATTTTTTGTTGACAGAGGGAAGCACTGGATCGAAGCCTACGCTGTCAAAGACGCTGCCTTTCCTTGAAGGTGTTCTGCTTGGAGCAGAGTCGATGTCTCCCAAGGATGCCCGGACCCTTTTGTAAACCGTATCGGGGCCAAAAGGGCTCGACTCTCTCTTGGTACCGGCAGCCTTTTCTGTGCTAGGTCTTTGCTTTCCCTCGTCCATGAGTGTGCTCCTGGCATGCTTGAGTTCGGGCTTGGTGAAAATTGGTGGACTCGGCTCGGGCTTTGTATACTCAATCGGGGGAGCAGCCATTTTCGCAGGCTCAGGCAGCGGAGGCGGAAGCACTGGAGGCATCGAAGGTGCATCTGACATGCCCATATCAGGGAGACCCGAGAGATCTAGATCATCGCCGGGTTGCTCATCAAAGAAGCTGAAATCAGCATCCGTTATGTCGGCATCGCCGAACATATCCGGGCCCATGTCTCCAAAGAGGTTGTCGCTCTCGCCCCCCAGGAATGAATCTGCTCTTGGCTTGTTGTCATTCGAGTTCCACCCGCCATCACCGTACGATTCATTATGTTGACTGGTATGCGGCACCGCAGTTTCAGGCATGGTGACATCTGCCATGGCGGTATCGATATCGACGATGGCTACGGTCGCATTCGGAGCCCCTGGGCTGGAGGTGGTGCCGTCTAGGGAGGGCGTGATTCCTAGAGGATTCTGAACCCCGTCAGGAGGGGTCGGATACATTGCACCTACGGCCGCTGCATTGCTCGCGCGCCTTAAACCTAAAGGCGAATGTCCATTGGGTTGCTGTGGTGGGACGGCCGCGGGAGTCTCTTTTATTGCCGCAGTCTCCCTCTCCTTTTTCCGCTTGGTGACTTTTTCTTCTCTGTCAGTTCCGAGCTGAAACCAGGTTCTAGCTTCGCTTAGAAAGTCTGCAGTCTCCTCGTGGGCCAGCAATGCGGTATCTCCTAGACCATGATTTCGCGCCTGAATCACTGACTTTTTGCGGAAGCAGAGGGCAGCCGGCCATGATATCGTAGCCATTGTTGACGGGAGTGGTGTTGATTTGCCGTCTCCTGATTTTCGGCGGATCATCTGAAGTGCTATCCAGGGGCAAGACTGAAGCAACGTTGGGGACAGCCCACGGGACTGGAGGATCTTGATGCATGTGTCTCTCCATTGCGATGATTTAGCATCCGCGCCCCTCCAGAGTTGAGTATCTGGAGTTTGTCCAAGACCAAGCTCTGGATATGATAAGCCACCGCCCATGAATCCTTGATAATTCGCTAGAACGCCGAACGGGGCCGCCAAGATCTGAGAGCCCAACACAATCTGCCCCGGACTTGATGGCTCGTTCACCGACAGTAGACCTTCACAACACGACAATGACAAGCTCATAACCAACGCACCCGTAGTGGTCAGATAAATGCGGAAGGTTCCGACGACTGCTGAATCAGAATCGAGAGCTCGGTCGGACTGGTTTTCGCGGGAGACTTTCGCGGGAAAAAGGACCGTTCGGTAGTTGACAGGTATCGCGCAAATGCGGCTACAGAAAGCTGCGGAAACGGTCGACAAGAGAGCCGTAACAAAATGCTCGTATGCGTCCTTCAGAGGCACAGAGCTTGTACCCTTCGCATCGGGTCCTCCGGCTGAGGCGGGCTTTGAATCGGGATCGGAAGAGCTTGGCGGCCCAGAGCCTGTATTCCGCGAATTCCGAAGTGACAGGTCAAGGGCCGAGTTACTTGATGAAGAGCTTGTGGGGGTATTTGCAGCTTGCTGACCCGGTGCGCGTCCTTTGAACAGACTGACCGGTTCGAATGAACCATCCTCGACCATCAACAGCGTCGCACCTTCGACTTCGATAGTGTTGCCCAAAGCCCCATTATTGTCGTCGGTAGCCGTCGCTCCTTTCCCCGGCACATGGAAATACCATAGCACGCGCCTGGTCGCATCATAGTAAACGATGTGGCCGCGGTTCCGTAGTTCGGTCTCGACATCGGCAGCAGCCGAGGGGAAGGTTTGCGCGTGCTCCTGAGAAGGTTCGTAAACTCGGAAAACGATCGAGGAGATGTTATTCTGGAGGAGATAAGTCAGCCACTTTAAATTATGTGGGAAGTGATGCGACGCACATTTAATAAGGTATTAGTATCGTATTCGCTTGTGTCCATGTCGACGGTCAAGTCTCGCAAATGCGGGATTCAATCCGTGTCGCAACATCAACTCCCTCAGTCGCTAAAGCTCCCGGAGGCTGCAGGAGCCGGTTGAAATCCAAGAAAATGCAGTCATAAAATATCAACGTCTTTCTGGCATCGATTGGAGCGAAATAAGCGATTCAAGGAGCTTTCGGAAGGGTTGTCTGCTGGATTTCGCGAAGTCATCGACTCCATCTCCGTGGGTCGAAAGCGCGACCAAAGTACCGGCTGCTCGGCATCAACCGAGTCCAAGACTGGTCCAGTACCGACAGGAAGTATGCGATAGAAGTTTCCAGGCAGTTGTTATCGAGATGATGGAGCACCGGGAAGCGTCGATGCTCGATCGTCGAGGCTGTCGTTGGGGGGGGGAGGTTGTCGGGTCTTTCGCAACGATATTGCGTGTTCAGCAATCAGGTCTGGCCGGGTCGGGATAGCGGCGGAATTCAGTTCAGCACGGTCACTAGCAAGCAGACTGGAACCTCAGGGAGCAGTTCGTTCGGCTGAACGCCTGTAATAGTGCACTAACAGGGTCCTGTTGGATCGGAAGACGGACGCGGTTTCAGCCAATCACTGCTGCCCACCCGCTAAAAGTCCCTGTCCAGCGGTCGAGATACACGCTAATGCAGCGTCGCCTGATTCGGCAGGGGGCCGGTCGGAAACAGGACTTACTTTTCCACCGCCTCACCGAGAAGTCCGCGCTGGTGGGCCAGGTGTGGCTCCCGCCCACCGACGCACCGGCCACCGCGTTCTTATCTTATCAGAACTTTTTTTTTCTGGCTCCCCTCGGTCGCAGATTTCCTTCATCCTTCGTCGCATCGTCGCGCAGAAACCGATCGACCGATCAGTGTTTTCCGTCTCCGGCCTCCCACAGTCACGATGCAATTGACAAACCCCGGCACCGTTCCGGTCTACACCATCTCTGGTGCTTCGACAGCAAGGCCTTTGCCCGACTGGTTGGCCAGGCGCAGAAAGAGATCACTCAAGAACGACCCCGAATACGCAAACCGAGTCGAGCTTCTGCAGGATTTCGAATTCGAGGAGGCGAGCACATGTATCCAGGTCAGCGAGGATGGTGACTGGGCCGTCAGTGCCGGAACCTACAAGCCTCAAATCCACGTCCACAACCTGCCGCAACTGTCTCTCTCGTTCGCGCGTCATACCAACTCTCTCACGGAGAAGCTGGCCATTCTCTCTTCCGACTACTCGAAGACTCTGCTTCTCCAAGATGACCGACGACTCGAGTTCCACACCCCGATGGGCTGCCACTACACGATCAGGATACCTCGATATGGAAGAGATTTGCTGTACGACAGGCATTCGGCGGAGGCCCTTGTACCGGCCGTCGGAGTTGATTCAGACGGATTGGGAGAGGTGTTCCGGTTGAATCTCGAGATTGGAAGATTCATGAAGTCGTTCCAGATTGATGTTGGTGGGGACGAAGAAGGAGCTGGCTTGCAAGGTGGCATCGAGGCTGGCAGTGTAAACGCTGCTGCTTTGGCGGAGAAGTCACACGGCCTGGCTGCATTTGGAACATCGCTTGGCACTGTTGAATTCTGGGACGCCAGGTCGAAGTCTAGAGTTGCACGTCTTGGTTGCCAAGAGGGAGCGATTACTGCACTTGACTTCAACGCCTCAGGCCTTTCTATTGCCACTGGATCTGCCAACGGCATGGTTCAGCTGTTTGATCTGCGTCGTCCAGTACCTCTTCTCACCAAGGATCAAGGATACGGCTTCCCGATCAAGAAGTTGATTCACATGACAACTGCGTCTCAGGAGAAGAAGGTTCTGTCCGCCGACAAGAGAATCATCAAGATTTGGGATGAGACGGACGGCACGCCCTGGACATCGGTTGAGCCTATTGTGGACATCAACGACATGTAAGTCTAAGACGTCGGACGGTGGAATGACTTTGCTAACCATACTATAGTGCCTGGTGCAAGGACACTGGTATGCTTCTGACTGCCAACGAAGGCAAGCAACAGCACTCTTTCTTCGTTCCCAGCCTGGGTCCGGCTCCGAGATGGTGCTCCTTCTTGGACAACATGGTCGAGGAAATGGCCGAGGAGGTCCGCACCGAGACTTATGACAACTACAAGTTCTTGACGCTGCCCGAACTCAAGCAACTCAGCATGGAGCACCTTATCGGCAAGACCAATCTTCTCAGACCATACATGCACGGATACTTTGTGGCCTCCAAGCTTTACGAGCAGGCAAGGCTCATCGCCAACCCCTATGTCTGGGAGGAGGAGAGGACGAAGCGCATCCAAGAGAAGGTCGAGAAGGAGCGTGCCAGCAGAATCAGAGGCAACAAGAAGGTCAAGGTCAACCAGAAGCTTGCCGACAAGCTGCTCAAGAGGCAGGAGAACAGAGAGGTTGTGGACACAAAGGCCGGTGTACTGGGCGACGAGCGTTTCGCCAAGCTCTTCGAGGACGAGGCGTTCGCCGTCGACGAGACCAGTTACGAGTTCCGCGCTCTCAACCCAAGCACCACCGTCGCCGCTCCGGATACTCACGAAGTGGGTGTCAGCTCTGCTGCCAGACCTGCTGAGGCGCCCAAGGTAGGATTGGGCAAGAAGGCTCAATCCCAGGCAGCAGAGATGACGATGAAGGTGTCTTCCTCCAACCAGAAGCATGGAGGAAGAGAAAGGGACACCGCGTTGGGTTCCCGTGTGCAGAAGTCGGGACGCATCGGCAAGATGAACCGTGGAGAGGCTTTCGGCGAGAAGCAAGTCACGTTCGTCCCGGACAAGAAGAAGAAGGGCCGTGGCCCGCCCCAGCAACAAGAGGAGAGCGCACCCAAGGAGAAGAAGAGGTTTGACGCGAGAAGAAGCGCAAGCACGAACACATTCAGAAGGCTATAAGAAACCGCTATGAGTATCCCAGGGTTTAAGTAATGGCACAAGAAAGGGCTTTTCTATCCCTCGAGCAGATCCCGGCTGCCAGATTTCGTCAATTATCCAGTTTCTAAACCCCGCATCAAACGACCCATTACACCGGCACCAAGCCAGTTAGCGGTCTTCGACCCGACACATCATTCCTATCCTTTAGCGTAGGGTTTACTTCCGACCCCATCTCATCAGCTTCCGCTTCTTCTCGGCCTGCGCCAGTCCCTTCTCGAGGTCCTCTGGACGGAGCCTCGGCGTTGGGGGCACATCGTCAAGTCTAGCGCGGCCGCGGTGGCTGCGTGGTGGCGAGTTCGACTCCTTGACTGACTTGGGAAACTCAGTCCTCCGCGGCGTGAGAGCGGTAACCACTTTCCTGGCCGACTTGCGCATGGTCTCTCTAATCTTCCACTCGCGCTTCTTGGCGATGTAAAACAACACAGCCATTCCGACTGTACGAAAAGCTGGTTAGCAAAATGATTTCATACAGGCGTTGGTATTTTTAAGAAAGGGTCCACATACTTCCGAGAGCACCAACGATGGAAACAACCACGATGATGGCAATCATGGCTTGGGATGAAAGCCCGACAGCGCCGGGGCTGTCTCCAGCAGCGCCGGCATCGTTATCAACGCCGCTTGAGCCGCTCGCATCGCCGGCGGCATCAGGATAATAAGTCTCGGTCGCCAAAGGGAAGTAATTGGAGGTCGTGGCCGCCATGGTGTTCAACTGCGTACCGCTCTCAGAGAGGGACCAGTGTACAGACTTAAAATGTTGGCGGGAAGAAGAGGCACAGTCAGGCTGGAAAAGGAAAAAAACGGCGTCAGAATCGTATGAGTAGAGAGAAAAGCTGAACAAAATCGAAGAGATACCCGGCGCCACGAATGTGGCCCAACTCAGTATTTACATGTTCAACCGCCGAGAAAACCCTTTGATGGAGCCCAGCGCCAATGGTTTCCCCCTCTCCTGCAACCAGCCTACCAGCGTATTCCCCTCAAAGCAGTGAATGTGATGAACGAGAATGCCCCCCCCGTGGAAGTGCATGTGCTTCACGACGGCAGTTGAGCGTGACGTGGGGCACGTATGGAAGCAGGAACCGTGTTGAGACACCCTGCTGTTGCCAATGGGATGTCTGGGCCCAAGACGGTCGAAATAGGCTCGCGATGCTCCCATTGGTGTTGAGCGGCCTCGAAGCGCCGGCACACGGCGCTTTCACATCGGAGCCGGGGTGCGGCGGCCAATCAGCGGGCGGGGCCTGGGATTCGGGCGGCACGAATTTCAGGGGGCCAGGGGGGGACCTGAATCAACCCCGGCTTCCTTATTCTCACCACCTGCATAGCACGCCTGCACGGTTGACGATGGGCACTCATATGCAGCCGGTCACGGCAGTGGCTGCAATATCGACAAGCTTAACTGTGTGATGGGGAGGGGTTGCGCATCTCGTTGACTTGACGAGCATGCGGTGTGATGGGCCGTTGGCTGGTGATTGTGGTTTTCTATCGCGAAGTCTCTGTTGGTTGCTCGCTCAGCGTTGTCTGTGGTGGCTTATGCACGCTCTGTCACTATCACGACGACGCCTGCGAGGATATCAGAATGACCAGAGCGGAGGGAATCAGCAATGCATGCACTCTACGGCGCATCGTTTGGCCGTCAGATTCGGCCTTCATTCGGCGTCTGGCGATGATGCCCTCAAAGTATCAGTTGCCGCCAGTCTCTTTTCCCGTCAAATTCTTGGTGTATTTGGCATTCCTTGGCTTCCACGTCGGGATTCTAAAAATGGACCATGGCCTCGGCCGATCACCTCAGCGGACGACCATTCAAGCTGGGGTTTCGGTGCTGGGGCCGTGTCGACCACTCAAGGAACCCTGAATATCGGAGGTGGATCGCCGGGTCGGAGGTCGAGAGGCCTTCTCGTCTGTCTTACCTGCAGTCCTGCCCTCGGACTTTGAGTTACCCGGTGTTGCAGATTTAGGTCAGTCTTGATGGCTGTGGAACGATAATGCTGGATTCACCACGCACCGATGTGTTATTCCACAGCTTGGGAATGATGCAAGCAGCCTCAAGCAGCATAGCATCGATATTCAAGCAGCATCCGACTAGCAGACGTGCGATTTCTCACAATGCCTCACGAGAGGAAACCCATGTCTCATTGGTCTAATTCAGTTCGGAGGACATTCGCTGCTGATGGTCACGGGCCGACTTATTCCTCGTAACAGCCTTTCATGGATACAGTTTCTTCTACAGCCATTTACCGAAGACCGCTTTCAGTATTGTCAACTTTTCAATACTGTAAGAAGGAACACTGGTGGACTGCCGTGGTAGATACTCCCTCCGGAAAATGCTCGGATATGTCGGGGAAGGCTATCTCACAGCTAACTTGAAGGAGGCGCGAGTGCGCTTCTGTTCAATGAGGGAATGCTATCATAACCTCGCCTTCTTTTTGCAGCGACCATGGTATTATTTTGGAAATAATGAAGCAAGAGCATCGCCACAAGAATCTGTTCAGGAAGTTGCGATGACACTGAGAAGCTGCAGGTGGTGGGCGCGGATCGATGAGTTCCTTCCTAGCGGGTTGCCATGCCTTCTCTCGAGTACATGCAGGGAGAAAGAACGTCAACTTCTGATCGTGCACTGCGACTTCTCTTTCCACGTTTGGCTATCTGCCATCGTACCTTCCAAAGAGTTTCTGGCAGTCGTGACCAAACACTTCACTCATTGAGACATGCCTTCCGGTAGATGGAAAGCATCTTGCCCACACTCAGATCAAGCACGCCGTCCCGTCCCTTTACACCTTAAGCCTTTGAGCGACGCCCACTCACTTACTCCCAATCCATCCGAAGCATTGTCATTTGGCGACGTCTCCGATCCTTTTTGTTTCGTTTTGCTTCCCAAACCCCTTGTTCCTGCTCTAAATATCACATGTTTCCTTGGACCACAGCTATAATCGACTTGAGCGGGTTCTATCGGCGGTTCGAGGCTTTCCGCCAACCTCAGCGGCATGAGTGGTCAATCCAGCCCCGATCCCATCTCTGAGGCACCCCAAGACTCCTTTCCTTCGACAATGACAGAGTCTCTTTCCAGAGGATCCAGCTCTAGCCACTCTCTGCTGAGCGACAGTTCTAGCAGAGTATCGCCATCCACCGACGGACCTCCTTCAGCTCGGCGAAAGAAAGATGGCATGCAGCAAAACCTGAACACCGTCGGCCATCATGGCAAGCATGGGCAGCACCGCCCCTCGGGTACGAACCGTCACGATGACTCAGGCATGACACTTGATGCATCAGAAATGGAGGCTACCAATGATGTCGAAGAACTTCCCTTTGCACGGCCGCCGAAGTTCAAGCCCAATCAGTTCTCGGGACCACAGCAAAGACTGCCCATCCATGCTGAGGATTTCGAAGATCTGGAAGACCTAGCCAGTCTTCAAGACGAACGTTCTCAGAAGCTGAAGTCCATCTCGCACCAACACCAAGAACTTTCAGGTCGGCGCCATGGTGGTAGCCGCCATCGCAAGGACACGGAACAGTCTGATGGTATGAACACTGGTGTCAATGCCGAGAATAGAAACGGTTCCCCCGTTCATGAGGTCCACTCTGGGAAGACCACGGACGCGGGTAAAGACCACACAAGTGTCGAGAGCCAAATGTCAGTCAATTCTTCCAAGGAGGGGGACTTAGTTCCATTGGATGGTCAACCAGCCCAAGTCAAGATAAGATCTCGTCAGCGGCCCACGGTGCTTGAACAAAATTCACCACCTAGTCAAGGTCTGGGAATCCGTCCTTTTCACAATGCGGACAATAGCTTGCCTGGTGGCCTAGGCCGTCAACAGGGCCAGGAAATACCCCATGTGGAAATGGCCGCCACAAGCACACGCAGGAAGCCGGAGAAAGACCGCGAAGTCAGACGGCCTGTCCTTGTTCCGCAGATGGGCCCTCCAGCAGCAGTCAATACCACAACCATCCGCTCGCCCACTGATCAAGGGGCTAATGTAACACCTCCTGAGCGTCAAAACGGTCTGCCTCAAGCGAGCAAACAGCACTTCGAATCGGCCGAATCCCAGAGGCAGCGCATGAGTACCCCCGTAGGAGATCTGGAAGGCCCTCGGCCCACGCCAAACCGTGCCCATGCAGAAAGGCGCAACGAAACACCCAGAAGCACTCGCATGCCATGCAGTGGACATGTTCAGAGACGCGAGCATGCATCTCGACGTGATAGAGAGCTAAGACGCGGGGACATTCACAATTCGGAACAGCAATCCCGACCCCTGAGAGAAGAAGATCTTTGCGTCTCTGCCCCCCGAGTACCATCACGGCAGTCAAATGTCTCCAAAGTAAGGAGGAATCGTACTCAGGACAGGTCACGGAGCAGCCATCGAGAAGTGAATGGTGACCTCCTCCGCCCGCGGAGTGGACAGCGATCGAAAGACATGAACCTTTCATCAATCTGTGAGATGATATATGGATTGGAAGCAACAGAGGTGGAGTCTCGCAAAACAATCGATGAACTCTGGCAGCAGAAACAAGATCTGGAGCAGCAAGTATACAGCATGCAACAAGCTCACAGAAGCCTTGTCGACAAATCATTGCAGTATGAGAGAAGCTACAACGAACTCGCCGCAGACTCTCAGCAGCGGGCCGCTCAGATGAGACACCAGGAGAACAGACTGAATCGTGTGCTAGAGCAGCGAGATCACCTTCGGGCTGAGACCAGCAAAATGCGGGCTGAGCTTGAAAGTTCTAGGATCAAACATTCCGAATTACAGGAGCATGTAATCAGAGCTGAGGCCGAAATCGAAAAGGAGGCGGGCCGAAATCGAAAACATCGTGAAGAGGCCAGCAAACAAACAGAGCTCGAGCTGATGGCTCTGAAGGAGGAACAGAAAGTGACCATCGACGGGCTGAAGGCGCAGCTAGAAGCGAAGCGAGACGCGTACGAGAACGAGAAGAGGGCCTTGAAGGACTTGCAGGTCGACTTTACAACGCTCAAAGAACATTTGTCCGGGGCAGAAGCGAAGGCCAAAGGCTTGGACAACCAGCTGACCGAGATCAAGCAGAGCAACGACCGCTTTCAGAAAATTGAAGCAATTATGGCCAAGATCTTCACCGGTATTGAGAACTTGGCTGAGAAGTCCGACAAGGCCGACGTGGTGCCACCTCAGACCGTGAAAAAGTGAGCGCGTGGTATTGCAAGACATTTTCCCCCGTAACTGACGATTGCAGGCTTGATGAAATAGCGGGATTTGCGCAGCGCGCGTCACGAGAGGACAACGATGGGACCAGAAAGGTCCTAGATGCCTTCCAAGAACAGCTGACATCCAAGTAAGTGTTACATTTAGTCCCTTGAGACGCTTGACTAACGATTTTTCAGGATTGGTGAAAAGATAGTTCATATGACGAAGGGGCAAGATATCATGCAGGGCAAAATGCAAAGCTTGGAGGAATGCTTGAAGAGTCAGTCGAGCCTTGCCGAGGCCGAACAAAAGAGACAACAGGAACAACAGCAGCAGCAAATCACCGAGAAGAGCGCCGAGAACGCGAGGCTTGCACAGAATCTCGATACCAAGGACAAACAGGTTACCGAGCTGACGAAGGCTGTCTCCGAGATGGGCCAGAGGCTGCAGAGATTTGAAGAGGCTCTGGACTCAGTCGCGCAAGGAGCTGCCTCGGAAACAGAACTTCAGGCAGCCCAGCAGAGTCTGAACACCAGCGAGACTCGAGTCAATCAACTGAGAGCAGAACTCCAATCCCAGCGCGCGACCTACGAGTCTGAGAAGACGGACCTTGAGAAGCAGCTGGAAAAGGCCAAGGACGATTTGAAAAAGACCGAAGACCTTCTCAAGAGCTCAGCGGAGAAGACGGCTTCTGTAGAGCGCGAATTCAATGCAGCATCGGACGAAAAGCAACGCAAGTTGGAGGAGACGGTGAAAAAGGAACAACAAGCTCACCAGGAGCTGAAGCAAAAGCATGACGAGCTGTTCGCCGAACAGGCTCGTCTCCAGGCGGAAAGCGCAGAGACCTCCAAGCGTGAAAAGGAAAAGTTTGAAAAGGCTGAAAAGGACCTCAAAGTTGCCGAACAGAGGATCACCAACCTTACCATGAAGATCCGCGAGACCCAAACAACATCAACTACTGCGAACCCGGGCGACCTTACACCCCAACAATTGGAAGATCAGCTAAAGGTGGTCAGAGAGTGCCACAGACTGATGGAAGACATGCAAGCCGGCGGGAAGGATCTCTCCAGAGGAAAGTTTGGTGCCCCTGAACCTAGCAACAGTCTGCGCGATGATAAGCAACACAGTCATGCTTCGAGTGAGCAGCAGCACTCTGGGGCCTCAGGCAATGCAGACGCCGGCAATAATAACGAGGAACCCGAGCTTCCCGAGGTGCCATGCACAGATCCAATTAACTGGAAGGACATTCTCGAAATCAGCTCAAGCTCGTCGGATGGTATTTTGGAGGAAGACAGCCAGCAAAAGAGTGGAAAAACCTTGGAGGAGGACCTCCAACGAAAGAGGATATTGATGAAGAGTCCCGTTGAGGCAGCAGACACCGAATTAGCGGCGCCTTCGGTTTCCCAAGAAAGAGCGCAGCGACACAACTCAACAAGCCAGGGGTCTCAACCTAGAAGCATTCTTCGACCAGGCTCGAGCTATACGCCAACGGCAGCATCTACAGATACTGCTGAGTCGGCCCGGGAACGTGCTCTCTCTACTCACTCTGGCCACACTGAGTATAACCGGCCAGTCGGAAGTCGAGATACCATCTCATACGCCCAGTTCAGTTCCTTTAGTAGCCGCAAGCTGCCGAGACCGCAGCTTCTTGATTTCCGGATAGAGCATAAAGGCAACAAGCGAGTTCGAACCGAGCCGCCACAGGACCGACAAATCAAGAAAATCAAGCACGTCAGTGACCCCAGGGATCGCGATGACGTTTTCACTGATCGCTTGGAGAACGCCGGACAGCCTACTGGAAGCTTAGCTTTGGAGCGAAGCACCAGGGCCAGCACTGAAGCCCTGTCGAACGAGTCGCAGGACAATTATTCCATGTCGCGCCATTTCCAAAAGGGCACATCGGCGAAGAATGACCATCAACCGCAGTCAAGACCACCACTTGCGGACAAGACTCCTCAGTCGTCCCAAAACGGCCCGTCTTCAACTGGACGTCGCAACATTACCCGAACTTATTCCAAACTTCCTGTCAAGACTTAGAAACCGCTGCGACGGCGGTGAATTTTGAACCACATTGATATGAAACTTGCAGCGGCGCTATTGTTTTTGGAGGTCAAGCACAGATCGAGAAAGCGAAGTCAGTTTGGTGGGATTTGTGGAAGACTTTTTTGGTGGCTTTTGGTAGAATATGCACTTAGATCGTGGCAGTCGAAGCCCATGCCATCATAAGTCTTTGTGTTTCGGTGTCCCGTGCCACTTCCTAACCTCCTCGATGCTCTGTAAAGGGTGCAATCCGATGGCGCATTGCGTGGCCGTGTCATGACATCCTCAAAAACCAATTGCATACCGCCGTGAACGCCATTTGTGATGTTATCAGTGTTGGTACAGGTAGAATCGACTCAGGCAAGCGGATAGCTCATTTGCCCTTTTTCTTTGCTTCCAAGAACAGCACCTTCCGACGGACTGTGGAAGTGTTAGCTCGGCATTCCATTCAAAGTGTTGTATCTTGCTCTGGCGCCAGGCGAGAAAGCGCGCATAACAGCTCGTGGGTAAGTCGTACCGATCGGATCGTATTTCAGCATGCTCATGGGCGAAGCCGTTCTGGGTCGCCTGAAGGTGTAGAAGAACCCGGTCGCGGCCATGGACACGAGCCGGACGATCGCGATGCGGGACTTCGCTGTCGAGATGTTAGCGATTCTGACCTTTAATTCTGAAGGCTTGCACGGGAAGACACACTCTTCTTCGCCATCTTGGGGGTTGTAGCGGGGGATGGGCGCTTGAAGCTTGCTGACGACCAAGATGGACGTGGATTGACCGTGGAGACGGGAATTTTGCGGTGGTGAGAGCTTTCGGTGCAAATAGGGCCGTTCACCGAGATTTAGTGGGGTTGAGCCTCGGTGAGGCCTCGGTCTGCTAACAAGAGAGTCGCTTTCGCCCCAGCTGGGGCCAACTGGGGCCATCCGGCCCGATTGCGGGTGAAGTCTACATCATGTCTCAACTAATTATATCTCTGTCGATAAGTATCGGTGCCTTCCTGTGGATGGTTGACTTTGTGACACGATGCGAATCAAGTGACCCTTTGCAGAGGAGCCAAGCGAAGAGGGGCGAGACGCGGCATCAGAATGACGACTTGACGGGGTGCAAAGACACGGCGGGACACGGCGCCAAACATCACGGCCGAATTCACCAGTCGCCGAAGCACGTTTGAGTCTGGAATCCGAGTAACGGAGGCAGGTGGGCGGTGGACCTTCAGGGTCTCTGCAGACGTCGATGGAGCCTTTCCATCAATAGCTCACCCGGGACCTGGAACTTTTGGCAGAGCTTGCAGGGTCCTAGCATCGAAGGGGCCGTCGCCCGCCGCACCGGTGTGTTCGGACGGCGGCATCCTCATAGAGGCATCCGTAAAGACTTCCAATGTGTGAGCTTGACGTTCAACGTTTGGTCCAAGCCGGGTTGATGATGCCCTTGAGGGGTATTTTTTCGCGTATATTCCTGCAGGATACGCATCCATCCGCTGAACCTACATCTATCTGACAACCAATTACCACGTCCACATTTGGGCTTATTCTGTACGATAGCTCGCGTGGCCTTGGTGCGGTGAGAGAGAAGTGTGTGTTCAGGCCGTTTTAGCAGTGTTTGCGCGACCTTCCCTGCATGCGGCCACACACCCCCAGCTTTCCATTCGGAGTCAAGCCCGCAGCTAAGGGCGGTTTATCGCGAGGACCCCCGACTGGGCCGGCGGGCAGGTCGGCGACCCAGCCTGGCAAAACCAATGTGCCAGGAAGGTAGGTTTATCTCGCAGATGTCTGGCCCTGCTGGTGGTGTCTCTCAACGAAGGTAAGGTACCGGGGAGGAGAGGGCGGAGGGGAGGAGTAAGGGCAGGTAAGAGTAGGTGTGGTGGGAAATGGGTGAGCGACTACGGGCAAATAAAGGGCAACGGACGTCCATCCTATCTTGCCTGCTTGCGTTGGGATACACAATCTCCGTTTTTGACTCTTTTTCTTTTCCATGCTTTCTTCTTTGTAGACCACGCGCGGGGGAATTAGATATTTGGCCGTCTCAGCCGCAGCGAACGAACACAGTTTCCCCGCGAATATTCTTTATTCATTAGACTTTTGCCAGTCGCCTTATTTCGACTTCAAGGGTTCTTTGACCGATTGCAAACGGCTATACACCAAACGCGATTTTCAGTGTCGGCATTCCAGCGGTATAGAGTTCACAAGCCGCTACCGAAACCGATTGTCGCGATGAGCTCGACTGTGGCGGCGCGCAGGGTGGCTGGCGGCACAGCAAGGTCGCTGGGAGCGCCAGGGAAGCAGGTCGTTGCGGCGGCGAGCCAAGTCAGACTGATGAGCAGTCACAGACCACACGGTACGTTGCAATGTGATTGAAGCTGAAGTTGAAGCTCTCCACATTTTTTCTTTCTCTCTGTCCATTCCTGTTTGTCGATCTGCTTCATCTTTTTATATTTGTTTCCTCCGAGTCTCAACCCTGGGCTGCCCGTTCACCGTTGGTGCTACCGGTGCTGCATGGTTGGCCAGTGCAAAGAGCTTGCAGCTCGCTAGGTACCTAGGTCAGCTTCGGGAGAAGCCAGGCGGCGGAAACCTTACCAAGAGAGAGACTGGACGGGAGCTTCAGCTCGGGTCTCTCCAGCGCGGCTTCCACCGAGCTGAAGTTGCACCCCGTTTTTTCTGTCTTTTTGGACGCCATCTGCAAACCCTTCCTTCACTGCGCAAACAATGCATTCTTGATCAACGATCAGTCCCGATCCAAGTCCATGGACCCCACGTGGAACCCCACATCTTCCTCCCCCTCGGCCACTGATTGCTTGCCGTCTTGAAATGCCCTCACGGAAGCCGCTAGGACTTCCAGTCAAGACTGAAGGCCCGGCTGGCCCCTGGTCACACCGATCACCGGTTTCGGACACAGGCCGACACAGGCCTTTGAAGCAACCCGTACCAAACCACTGCCGGATCTGATCCACGTCTTCGTCTGCCGTCGGGAACGCGCGACTAGCCAGCAAGTGCTGGCACAGCCGGGAATGGCCAAGGAGGGGCAAACACTCCCACACACGCAATGGAAGAGTCACGACCACCAAGGGGGCCGTCAGAGGTCCAACTCAACCCGCCGCCGTCCGGTCCTTTCCATGATGCAGGGCTGTGTCTCGTGGCCCAGTGTGACAGTTCCCAATTGGAAGCCCGACTAGCTTGCCTACGGCTCACCCTGAAGACATTGAATAAGAGCAATGTCTTGCATCGGACGATGACGGGAGGGAAGTGCGCTGATTCTGGGCCATTTTGCCTTGTCTCTTCCTTCTGCCCGTTTAATCCATCAATAACACAGAAGAGAACCGTCCATCGGGTGTCCATCCGGTGTAGTAGGTAGCTCCCCCGCGTCCAAGCTCGGTGTCGGGGGTCATTGCTTGCCTCCCCCCCTCGCTGAAGAACAGGAGGAGGACAATAAAAAGCTATTAGTGTGGCTGCATACCTACCTTATTAAAGATCTCCTTCAAAATTTGGTCTGTTTGTTCTTCACATCCGCACGTCGTCTCTTTACCTCTGCTCCGCTTATTGCCGGGTAGTAGCCAAAAGGTGTTTTCCTCTCGCTATCAAATCTCCACAGTTACCGTGGTAGAAGCCCTTTATCTAACTTTTATATGACTCTAACATAGATACCCCGCGGTCCCCTAAGATCTTCCTCTCCAATACCCCGCCATCCCGAGCGCAACTTTTCTCGAGCAGCAGAAACATTCGTTCGTCACCCCACCATCGAACCATGTCTTCCACGCCCACTCGTCGGTTGAACGCCGACAACATCAACCAGCATGTTGTCGCCGCAAAGTACGCCGTCCGTGGCGAGCTCGCCGTGAAGTCGGAGGAGTACCGCGCGAAGCTGGCCAAGGGCGACAAGGACCTGCCCTTTGACGCCGTCATCTCGGCCAACATCGGCAACCCCCAGCAGCTCGACCAGAAGCCCATCACCTTCTTCCGCCAGGTCGTCTCCCTCCTCGAGAACCCTCTGCTGCTCGAGCACGAGGATGTCCTGCTGAACCAGCTCGGATACAAGTCCGACGTCATCACCCGCGCCAAACGGCTCCTTAGCAAGGTCGGCTCCGTCGGCGCCTACAGCGCCAGCGCCGGTGTCCCCGCGATCAAGGAGAGCATTGCTCAGTTTATTGAGCGTGAGTTTTGTGACAGTGCAGTGCTTGCTGTGCCGTAGACATGATAACTGACAAAGATTTCTCCTGCAGGCCGCGACGGGTTCCCCGCCGATCCCGCCCACCTCTACCTCTCCGGCGGTGCCTCCTCCGGCGTCAACACCCTCCTGCACATCATCTGCTCCGGCCCGACAACCGGTGTCCTCGTCCCCATTCCCCAGTACCCTCTCTACACTGCCACCCTCTCCGTCCTGAACGCCACCTGCGTGCCTTACTACCTCGACGAGGCGTCCGGCTGGGGTACCGACGTGGCCACCATCAAGGCCGCCTATGAGAAGGCCACCAGCGAGGGCACCGATGTCCGCGCGATCGTCATCATCAACCCGGGCAACCCCACCGGCGCGTCTCTCTCCGAGGAGGACATCCGCGCCGTCTACGACTTCGCCGCCGAGAAGAACCTCGTCGTCATGGCCGACGAGGTCTACCAGACCAACGTCTTCGTCGGCAAGTTCCACTCCTTCAAGTCCGTCCTGCGCAGGCTGCAGAAGGAGACCCCCGGCAAGTACGACGGCGTCGAGCTCGCATCCCTCCACTCCATCTCCAAGGGCATGGTCGGCGAGTGCGGCCACCGCGGCGGCTACTTCGAGCTCGTCAACTTCGACCCCGAGGTCGAGGCCAACATCTACAAGTTCGTCTCCATCACCCTCTGCGCCCCCGTCATCGGCCAGTGCATCGTCGAGCTCATGGTCAACCCCCCCAAGGAGGGCGAGCCCAGCTACGAGCTGTACCGCAAGGAGTACGACGGCATCTTCAACGGCCTCAAGGAGCGCGCCACCGCGCTGCACAAGGCCTTTGACCAGATGGAGGGCGTCGAGTGCGGCGAGCCCCAGGGCTCCATGTACCTCTTCCCCACCATCAAGCTGCCCGCCAAGGCCGCCGAGGCCGCCGCGAAGGAGGGCCGCACCGCCGACGAGTTCTACTGCATGCGCATGCTCGAGGCCACCGGCGTCTGCGTCGTCCCCGGCAGCGGCTTCGGCCAGAAGGAGGGCACCCTGCACTTCCGCACCACCTTCCTCGCCCCCGGCACCGACTGGGTCGGCCGCATCATCAAGTTCCACAAGGAGTTTGTTGCGCAGTACAACTAAGCGCGTTTGTGCGTGAGCATCTTACGAAACGCCCTGTGTTTTTTTCATGACCAGTTACGGGCGAAGGGGTAAATAAGGGGAGAGGTGCGAGGAAGGGCCAGCCGCTTTATTGGATGAGACGATGTTGCAGAAAAAAGCATATCAGCGAGCGCGGCTTGGGTCAATGATTTCTTTTGGGAACATTGAGCGCGTGCTTATTAGAAGTACGTCGTAGACAGACCGTCCATTGGATGATGGGTGGAAAGATGAGGGTTCATATACCAAAGAAAAAAAAGAGAATGATTTGCACGCTATGATTTGGAGAAAGACAGGGAGGCCTTCTTGCCTTTTTGGCGCATCGTTTCGCATGTTAGGGGACATTTATGGGGTGATTTAATGATTCATGACGCCTTTCAGCATAGCTTGCGAGAATAGAATATGTCCCGCTCCATACCTGGCCTCGAGAACGCAAACATGTCACAAAGCATGAGGAAAGTGTCGAAGCCAAGATTGCTCATATTGGCCCGTCTATCCGTAGGTATCATACAGAGTTATTGTAGTAGCACACATTTGCTCACCCCTTGTTCTATTCGCCGCCGCGATTTCTACCTCTACGCCTTACCGACCTTGATGGTAAAATTTGGGTAAAAAAAGGACCTGCGGCTCTCATCGGCAATATCCTCTCAGCATCCACGTCCCCTGCGCAATTATGCACGCTCGCTTCCCCGTAGGCGCACAGCCTGGCCGTACTTCTGAAGCTTGGTGATGAGCTGATCGCCCTGGCGCACAACATCCTGGTACTGCTTGTTCTTGTCGTCTGGTCGGTTGGTCTCGATGACGCCCTTGCCGCTGACGCGGTCGATTGTGCAGGGGATGCGGCCGGCAGCGATGAACTTGGCGAGGTCACTGTGAGAGATGTTAGCATTGTGGCGAACAAAGATCCGCGTGCGACAAAACATACCGGTCAAGGAAGTCGACGGTGACACCAAAGTCGGTAGCCATCGTCTCCAAGCCAACCACGCGGTAGCTCTGGAGGAGCTGCTGGTAGGCGCGCAGGCGCATCTCGCGGATGAACCAGTTCTTGTGCTCGTGCAGGTAGCGGTCCTGCGTGAGGAAGTTCTCCTCAACCTGGGCGAGGGCCTGGAAGAAGTACTTGTACTGGCCGTTGTACAGGCTGGTGACCAGCTGGGCCAGGGGGGAAAAGTCGATGGCCATCTCGGCCTCGGGCTGTTCGGTGCTCGTTCCGAGGGTGGTCAGGTTGACAGCCGTCTTGGTGGCGGCAGAAGGCGCCGGGGCGTCCTGCATGGTATCGTCGGCACCGGGGCCGGCACTGAGCGCACCTGACAAAGCAAGAAGCTTGTCCTCTCCATCGCCGAGGATAGCCTTGATCTCGGGAGCATCGACAACCTTGCTCTTGAAGTCGACACGCTTCAGAGAAACGGATCCGGCGAGAACGGAGTAGACGACGAGGGAGGAGTAGGTGCAGAGTTCGTAGCTGGTGAAAGTGGACAAGCTGTCGAGCAGCAGCGGAGCGGCGCTGTTGTAGGATCGCACGGTCAGAGAGTAGATACCCTCGTAAGCCTTGAGGCGGTTGCGACGGTCCCAGTCACCGCCGGACTCGACAAGGGTCTTTGCGCGCTCGATGTGCTTCTTGACAAGCAGCTTGTCGCCGTAGAAGAGACCCATTCGGACTATTGCGAGCACCAGGTCGATCTTGGTGCCCAGGATACCCGTCTTCTCGAAAACGTCCTCGTATGCGGCAATCGCCCGGTCCTGTTTAGAATTATCAGAGGCGTGTCATTGATTCATCGACAAACGTTACACACCTTGTCACCAACTCTGGCCCAGAACTCCGCCCTCTTCCCCCGCGCGGCCTGGATTTCCGTCTCACCGGCCTTCTCGACAGCCTCGTCCTCCTCCTTCTGGAACTCCTCCAACTCCCGGTCGTTATCGGCCTTCAGCTCCTGGTAGCGACCCTCGTCCCAGGGCAGGTTGACGGCGGTGGGGACGCTCTTGGTGGCGATCATGCCGGCCAAACTCGACTTCCGACTCAGTGGCTTGCCAGGTGTCTGGCTGCCGCCCTCACCGAGCTGGTTTAGGATGCCCTCGAGAGGATGGGCAAGGTACCGGTAGAGCGGTGCCATCTTGTGCTCGGTGATGGCATCGTTGAGAGCTTTCGCAGCGTTTTGTTGAGATGGCCGGGAGGCGTAGGCGTTTGTGAGGGTGAAGACATGCTGGGCGAGGGGGAGGAGGGGGTACTTTGCGTACTGGGGATCTGAGCCCATCTTTGCGGTTTATCTCACTACGGCGGACTTTGAAAGAGAAGGAAAATCGGGCGTTCGAGGTCGGGGAGAGCAAGTTGAGGTCGTGGAATTGGGTACTGGGTGAGCAAGAGTGATGTCGTTGTTTGGAGGTGTTTAGAGCTGGAGCTTCCCTACAAACCGCAAGCGGCCGGTCAGACTCTGACGTGATTGGCCCGCTGGCGGGAGTGAGCTTAGCAAATCCAGCAAGGCTGCAGTGCGACACGTATTGGACCTGCCTACCTAGGTACCTAGCATCAACCCGCAACACAATAGAAGCGAGCGCAAATGTTACAGACAGCTCCTTCTACTTATGTCTAGCTTTCAGACGAGGGAAGTCATCATGAATTTTCTTTTAATACAATGGGAATCTCCCTTGGATTACTTCCAATCAATAATGGAAAGAGCGGATGAACTGCACTTGCCGCTTCCAAGCGCCACACCTGCCGTGAGCTGAGCCAACTATTTAGTGGGGCCCGCGCCTCACCCTGGCACCATTCAGTTCCGCGCGCCCATGATCTTTCAGCTTCTTCCTCGACTGTCAATACCAGCAACAAGACTTTCACCCTTCAATTCTCATTCCAGAAGCCTTGGCTTCGAGGTGACCTAGAAATTTTATTCTGAGAAAACTCCTACTCTTCAATCGATACAATGGCAGGCTACGACGACGACGAAGCCTACGACGCGCGAAAGCGCAAGCGATCCCAATCCCCGGCCAAGAAAGGCAAGAGACGTGAAGACGAGAATGATCAACTTCCTCAGCCCTACAATGCGAAGGAACTCCAACCGGCCAAGAGACGAGCGGTCTCGCCTTCCGAACAGCCGCGCAAGCAGAAGAGACCCGGTGCCCGCGCTCGCATCTCTGAAGCAGAGAGAGAAGCCATCCGTCAAAGAGCCCTCGACCGCGAGAAGGCTTTGGAAGCCCAAGCTCATGCCCAAGCCGAAAGCGAGCGCCAGCGCAACATCAACGACGTCGTAACGCAGCACTACAACAGTGTCCCTGAGCGCGGTAGAGACTGGAGACGTACCGATAGCAAGATCAAGGGGCTTCGCGCATTCAACAACTGGATCAAGAGCTGCATCATCCAAAAGTTCTCTCCAGACGAAGATCACACCCCTGGATCTCGGGAGCAGGGCGTAACAACAGAAAACCAGCTCCTCGTTCTCGACATTGGCTGTGGAAAGGGAGGTGATCTGGGCAAGTGGCAGCAAGCGCCGCAGCCCGTTGAGCTCTACGTCGGTCTTGATCCCGCAGACATCAGTATCGACCAGGCAAGAGAACGATATCGCCAGATGGCAAGTCGCGGAGGCGGTGGTAGAGGCGGAAGGGGTGGGTACAGGCGGTCCTCCAGGCTGTTCGAGGCACGCTTCCAGGTCAAGGATTGCTACGGCGAGTCTGTGGAGGACATTGAGATCGTTCGACAGGTCGGTTTCGACACCAACCCTCTCAGCCGTCGCGGCTTCGATGTTGTCAGCATGATGTTCTGCATGCACTACGCTTTCGAGACGGAACAGAAGGCCCGCATGATGCTTCGCAATGTAGCCGGCTCGCTGAAGAAAGGAGGTCGCTTGATCGGCTGCATCCCCAACTCTGACGTTCTGGGCGAGCGCGTGCGAGAGTTCAATCAAAAGGCGGAAGAGAAGAAGAAGCAGGCTGCCGAGGAGCCGCCTGCGGATCCGGAAGAGGGCGAACTGGAGGACGGAGAAGCAGAGCAGTCTGCGGAATGGGGTAACTCCATCTACCGGGTACGCTTCCCTGGCAAGACCCCTGAGGATGGTGTCTTCCGGCCTGCTTTTGGCTGGAAGTACAATTTCTTCCTCGACGAAGCCGTCGAAGAAGTCCCCGAGTATGTGGTGCCTTGGGAAGTTCTCAGAGCCCTCGCCGAAGATTACAACTTGGAGTTGCAGTACCACAAGACTTTCATGGAGATTTGGGAGTCGGAGAAGGACGATGAGGTGCTTGGCCCTCTCAGCGAGCGCATGGGTGTACGGGAGCGCGGGGCTGGAAGGTTGCTGGTATCGCCGGAGGAGATGGAAGCTGCGAGCTTCTACACTGCGTTCTGTTTCTACAAGGTCTAGTATGTCTCTGAGCAATTAATAGCATGGGCAACTTTGGAATTTCTAGACCTCCTCAAGCCTTTTGGACGGCCGGGAGACTCAAATCATCACAATAGCTTACTCTAATTTACCGTTGACGCATTCAAATCACGATGTGAATAACATCACTGCAGGTGTACCGTTTTCGCAGTATCCGCAGATTGAGGAGGGCATTTGAGCTGGATGGCTTCACACAATCATTCACATTGATTGGAAACTTTCTCTTATTTGGCATGAATCTTCATATAACAGTAACCGTCATTCATAAGGCATAAACATGATAACAGAAAAGATCTCAGACACCTTTCGATGCTTAGCGATGAGTCGAACCATCTGGGGTTAGATGACCACAGATGAGGGTTCTGTTCTCCCCTAATGCGCTCAAGTATACAAGAGAAATATCGCCAAACACTGGCGAGATGCAAGCCTATGAAGTATGAAGGACTTTGTGCAGAAACTACAGAAGTAAAAAGAAAGCGACAGGAGCACCTCAGATTCAGGAATCTCAGGGGTAACGTGAGTGCCGGCACCAACACCGTGCCGAGTGTAGGGACTCTGACAACGAGTCGAGTCTCAACGTAATTGACTTTAAATCCAGTCTTTCTCAACCATGACAGAATCAGAGGAATGAATTCGGATCATCACCTGTCGTGTCATCTGGTGGGCTCGGGTTTGCAGCCTCAACACGTATTTCGGGCAAGCTCGTATCAAATATCTGCGGAGACGCCGAGACCATAGACAATGATTCATACGATGGGATGCTAGTCCACCTTGTCATGCCTTGCTGTATCTCAGGGGAGTCCTCGGAAATTGATCTGTCGTTGTTTGCCGAGCTTGTAGCAACCGCGCAGCCATACAGCGATTGTGGAATTTGAGACAGGAAAGAATATCCTGGAGAGGCCATCTGAACGTCCCAAATTTGGGGTGAGAGTGTAGGCGTGTAAGAGTTACAGTATCCAAGTCCGTTTTGGCTCAAGATTGGTGTAGCCGCCGTGAACTGGGGCCCTACCATCCTAGTAGCGTTTTGACTGACGTCTTGACTGAAGACAGACTCGGATCGGGGACCGCGTGCTTCCCGTGTCAGGTTGTAGTTGCCAACCTGATCTTCTGCTCCGAAACTCTTGAAGCTGTTGCAATCGTCCTCGCAAAAGACTTGATTTAAACTAGAGTTGTCGTCTTCAAATATGGGGGCTTGTGTCTCTAGGAAGGATGTGCAGGTAGTTGAGTCCAACGCGGCTTCATTCGTTGAATGGTAGGATGCTTCTTCACTAGCAGTGACGTAGCTGGGCACAAAATGAGGTCGCGTTGCCATGCCAGGATGAAGGTAGTCGGAGGCGCCGCAGGCCTGACTATTCTCAAAGCCTGCTCCTGCCCAGTCTTCTCCACGAGTTAGTATTGGTCTTCTATTACAACGCTTGAAGCTTACCTGATCCATTTGCCATAGACGGCATGGTCTTCGGTCGATGTGGTCCTCGGCCAAAGCCGGAGTCGATCTGAGCTTGGGTTTCTTCGGAAAGAGAACCCTTGATCCTGAGCTTGTCGAGGACTCGCTTGCCGGCCAAGAACTCGATCCCCTCGGACTCAAGAACGCTCCCAGACACGACCGTCACATAGCATTCCCCCAAGTCGCCGTCTTTCAACCACGGCGCCTCAACATCAAGAGCAACGAACTCTTCAGGTTCGACCATGCCAAAGTCTGTCATTACTGCCAGACGAAGAGCAGGTACACACGGTAAAGTCCGCAGTCCCAGTCTCAGAGCTGCATTTTTGGATATCAGAGAGCTCTTGCAACTCGAATCGTAATGCGTCACTACTGGCTTGGCATCTCTCATATCATTGTGTGGCCGGATCCACAAAGACTTATTCACAGGTTGATTTTGCGATGTCTCGGTGGCGGTATTTGGGGCATTCGACCGAGCTGCTCTCCGTCTAGACCTGCCAGGAGACACCTGGGTACCGGCACTGTATGCCCTCGGTTTTTTCACTCGGTTGGGTACATTTTTAACTGTATTCTTCGGTCGAGTATAGGTGATGACTGTCGATTGAGAGGCTTTCGGTTGTGTTCTCGGCGTGACAGTTGCTAGGGTACCAAGACCATTGTCGGTAGGCCCTGTCTGAGATGGTTGTCGACGTAAGTTCTGGGCTTGGTGGTTAGCGTGCGGCTCTGGGAAGGAAGTGGCTTGACGAACTAAGGTCATATGTGGCAGCGGTCGAATTCCTCGGGCTCTTTCGTAGCCACCTTCGGTAGAAAGGTTGCCCCTCATGATGAATTCTTCGTGGCTGAGATCGTGTGGGTGTGTTAACTCACACGCCTTCAGTAGTCTTCCAATGTGTCACTTACATCTGTGTGGGGGCGAAAAGGGCAAGATCTGTATCCTCCAGGTTCAAAGTACACCGAAGTAATGGTAAAGTGGACGGTAGAGTCGATGGCCGATGGCCAGGACTGGAGTAATGATTCACCCCCAACTTACGACTACCCAACTATGTCGAGGGAGGGAGGTTGCGAGAGAGAAGGGCAACGATCGGAATCAGGCGAGGCGTAAGTCCTGTGCAGCTGGTAGGAGGAAATTCAATGTGTATATGTAACATCAGAGCACATAAAACTGAGATTCTCCAAAGGCGAGCATTATGGGCGACTCATATGGCAATGGGGCCTTCGACAGACATGTCGCTGCGGCTGCTTTGGCACTGCCACCAAGCTGCGAAGGCTCAAATGCTACTTCAAAAACTACAATAGAGCGGGAATTGTTTATCGCTCCTACATATTCTGTCTGGGTGTGTCCGCATCAAGTGAGGCATTCTTGAGGGACCGCTTCCCCTGGGCGCCTCGTCCAGCCTGCTCGACATCCTGCAGCTAAGAGGATTGCTGAGCTCCCTTTTTCTGGCCTCTAGATAGACAGAAAGAATGATGACGTTCGCAAGAAATTAGAACGAGAGACTGTAACGAGTATATACGCTTCTGCTCAAGGTGTCGGACGGAGAGTCAACGTATCACGATATTTCATTTGAGCTAACGCGTGGAATGAAAGAGGTAGTGTTCCTCTCAAGATTGTAAATCATTGCGAAGAGCCTCGTCTGAATGCCCATAAGAATACGTGTTCGAGATCGTATGGAAGGGGATATTCGGGCCTGCAGGTAAATGGGGCCCTTCTCCCCCCTCTCAATGCCTCACCGATTCTGTGCTGCAGCAATGTCTTCGGACCATGCATCCCCCCCACACACCCAAACCCGTCCTTCTCATTGCCACGACTCGTCAATTCGTGCCCAACGCTCGAAATCACACAAGCCGAGAACGAATTGGGCTTCTTCTTCTTCGGCCTGACAGGAGTGTTCGTCCAGTCCTAGTTCATATGTCGTCTCATTGGATGCATCGATAGTTCGTTGGGGGTAAGCAAAGCTGCTTGGTCAGTTTGTAATTGCATGCATGTGTGCAATTTCCAAAACAATTCCAAAAGTCTGCAGATTTTGAAAGCCACGCCAGCCATGTCATCAGTAGGAAGACTCCGTGCCGTACTGATTGTCATCAAGTAACGGGGCTCAGCTATCTCACATTACCGAAAATACACGAGGCGATGCTCATGATGACCTCAAAGAACTTCTAGCCTCACTTTCAAACCTAGTGGTTACACTTGCTCGTCTAAAGCTGTCAGACGGCGGCTCCGGAACGACTCCGAGACCAACACCGGAGATGTAGAAAAGCCCTTTTGGCCGAACTCAATCACCTCACACTCTCTCACTTACTTATAAGAAACCAGTTGATACCAATCTCTCCAATGGCCGGCCCATTGGTTCCGTTTACACATCCTTATTCGTCAATTGAGAACATTACACGTCCCCATTCCCTCATGAGGCCCATATCTCGCTGTCATGGGAGAATGTACTTCAATTAGTCGCAGTATCAGCGCACCAAATCCTCCATCCGAGTCTCAGAAGTTGCGGTGGCATGGACCGCGCTCTCAGAAACCGTACGCAGCATCCACATACGCATTAACAACTGAGACTTTACCTCCCTCGCCCCCGTGCTCTGTGATCCTTTGGTCGAGTTCATCTGCGACAAAGTCGAGAGCATCTGGATCCGAAGATAGCGACAGGTATCGAGGGCAAGCCAACAGCGCTAGCTTAACTGGATCTGCCGCCCAGGCAGATACCGACACATCATATCAACCGTCTGAGATCTATGGCAACCCCCGGGGATTCAATTATGACTCTCGTCTGATTTCTCCAGGCGATGACTTTACGGGTTGGTGCCCTTGGGGCGAGATCTCTTTCGAAACCCAACGACCACAGACACTAGGCAACGGACTCATTGCGAACCCTGAGAACTTCAAATCGAGTCAATCAACTGAACCAAGGCGACATGCATTCTCACCTGTTGAGGATGAGCCGAATTCCCCAGACTCCCCCTTGGCTGTCGACATGACCGAAGAAGATTTCGAAGAAAGCCCTCTCGGAGATTATACCTGGGAGCAAAACCAGTCATTAAAAGACTTCCAAGAAGATCCGGCCCACGAATTCTGGAAGTGGGATATAGAGAGAGAACAGTGGTTTCATCGCGATGAGGACACAGGTTCCGTAATCTGGTGTCCGACGGAGTTGGATTAAAGCTTTTGAATACATATTTGGTATAATAGTAAGTTGGTGGTATCCCGGATACCACCGGCGGAAGGTCTCGCATATTGTTTTAGTTCTGTAGGTTCCGGTAACATCAAAAGGGTATGGGGTGTATACTAATGGATGGACACTGTGGGCATTGGCGTTTCATTCTGGACTTCCGTCAGTATAGCATCAAACTTGTTGTAAGGTAGTACTATAGTTTGCAATTACACTGGTGATTATTCCCTAAATGCACACTACAGCCTCAGTCGTAGCATGAAATCGCACACAGGGCGTGATTACGCACCTGGGAAATGGGCACTTGCTTCTGAATTTGTAATCTTTTTTAACACATTAGAGATGCGATCGCTCTCTTGGCTCTCCCGTATTTGTAAAAGTCAAGTTGATTCCACTGATGCCAGTCTGTAGTCTCACTCAAAACGAGTACGACAAAGGCCCATGTTCAATGTAGTTACAGACGATCTCTTCATTATACTCAGCATTAAACCAAATCATATGAGTGCAGATTGCACATGCCCGATCACACCTTGACGCCTAATTCATGCAGTAACGAAAACAACCTACCTTGAATACAAACATCTGTTCAGGTGGATTTTACGCCGCGTCGTTGCAATTCTGGGCGCTTTCGCCCGGCAAGTCGTTGCTTAATGAAGTTACGTTGGGCGAAAGAGCAGAGTCTTCGTCCAATTCCATCGCGGAGGATGGCGGAGTTGATGTATGATTATGCGTAAACAGAGACGTTGCTTCTAGCCGGGTCGTGGATCGAGATGGCCGAGAGCGCCTGCCGGTGCCGTGTGGACCCAGACGTTCCGGATCAAGGTCCGGATCCGTGCCGACACCCGGCCCCATATTATCGGTCAAAGTGCAGAGGGATGTCGGGCACCCACAGGGAGCGATTCCGGTGATGAGCGGAGCTATGGGAGTTGGTGAGGAATCTCTGCGCTCCACAATTTCTTCAGGAATCCCAGGCGAGATGGTCGAGGCACGTTTGTCAGGCTCTAAGAGTTCCCTAGCAACCATGCTCGCCGACTCCATCTCCGATTTCTTTTGAGCGACCTTTTTCCAAAAGTTGGTACCGAGAAAAAGATGCTCGCCTCGGGCTGTTTCTTCTGAGCCTAGAACGCCCACATGAACGAGCATGCTCTGATTGATACCAATGAACGGGGCCCGAATCCGCATCGGAACAAAATCTCTAAGATACTTGATACCGAATGGCGTCTCAAATGGGTGTTGTTTTTGCGTAGGTGTCATTGGGAATTTCTTGAGACCCAATGTGGTGGCAAGCATGAAAGTTGCAACCGAGAACCTCCATTTCGTATTAGTGGCAACGAGAGCACGTGGGTTGCCACTGTCTGATTCGATCTCGATGTGGTAGGAGCGAGCTTCAGTATTGGAAGAGGGCCCTTCGGCTGCACTCAATATCGATGATTCGTTTTGTTCCCCTTGGGTTCCTTGTGCGGTAGTCGACATAATTGAATGCAATAGACCGCAGGTTATTGGGACACAATTCGAAGACAAAACCGGCTTTCCTCGGTTCTTTCTGCAACCCAAGGAGGGTGTCTCACTGCTCTGGTTGTTGAAGGTACGACTTTTGGGCAGAGCTCACTCAACTCCACGCGGGTTCCGTCGGATTATGGAGGCTTAGAGGTGTTTGAAGTGAAGTTGCGAATGTCGCGTTCTAGAGAGCAACGAATTAAACCGTCTTGAAGCTCGCCCGATCAATGAGAGTACGGGATTGGTTCGTATAGCCGCTGATGACAGTCGTCGAAGAGAGACGTGATAGACACACAAAAGACTGGACAGAGAAACGTGCGCGAACAGGTCGATTTCTCTTGGACTCGGAAATAGCACAGCTAACAATACCAAAACAGATTCTCGGATCAGAGAAGGGCCTTTAAGGGGAGAGCCGTCAAGCCTCCCGCCTGGTTGCCTTCTTTGGTTCGCGAACCAAAGAAGGCAACCCAAGTTTACTTGGGCTGTTTCAACCCCTAGCATGGTCTCTGAGTGAGGCTGCGTGGTGGACTCTGTACACAGATTTTCAGACTGAACAGCACCAGTACATCCTGAGATTTGACCGAAAGCTGCACAG